GTCAGGGTCAAGAGGTTGACCTGAGGGTAGGGTGGTCGTGGATACCTTGGCTTCTCCCACTCAATTCCCCACTCAGATATTTCCCTCTCCACCCCCTCTCATCCCTCTCTGTCCCTCTCAGCAGCGGCCTTCCCCATACCAGGCAGAGTCAAATGTCCCTACTCCTATCTTAGAGGAGACAGGCTTGAACATAAATTATCAGTTTTGTAAACATTGCTCGCAGGTGCCTGGGCTCCATAGACGCGCCTTGTCCCCCTTCTCTTTAGCTGGGGAGAGCTGACTCAATCTTCAGAAATTCATGTAGCTTTCCACGACAGATCAGTGAAGGTGATTGGCCTGAGATAAGGGCCAAGTCCTTATTGGCCCTAGAGAGCCAGACCTCAGGCCTACGTGTTAAATGGTTGGCCAGGGCCAAAATAATGGGTGGAGCCCTGGGGCTGTATTAGATGGTGGGAGGAGTAATCCTTCCCAGCAATAAGTTGGAAAAACTAAATTTCATCAGTGTGTCTTGGGAGTGTATTAGGAACAGGGCCGCAAGCCCGTATCCTCGGGGCTGAGGGCAGCCATCAACATCGTGGCCGTAGTGCGGGTATTTAAGGTATAGTGCACTTGAGTTTTGTGTCCTCGGTAAATATCCATTGTGCCTCTAGGGAAATAGAATAGGTTATGTGTTCAAATTGTCTTAATTTACATGTTTCATAAAATAAATTGTATAGCTTGTCCAGTGGTATTCACTTAACTCCCCTTTGATATATTTTGCTACTTTGTCATTTTTAGGTGTTGTATTGGAAGCCCCCATGTTCTCCTACTATTAATAGATACTAAAGTTGCCCTTGGATTCAAATAAGTAACGTAAATTACACAAACTAATTTTCCAAAATTTATTACTGAAATTCATATTACCCGGAGTCCCATGGTTACTGATTCCTTGCCTTCCTGGGGGATCGGTGATTGACACATTCAGGTATGGTTGGTCGGGAAGGTGGTGGCAGTGTAAATGTGTTTTGTTATTGTTTTTTTTTACTAATAACCCTTGTCCTTGGTGTATCTTCCTCATTTAATATTCCTCTTACATACGTGGCAGTCCAGTGAGGGGTCATGCTGGACTGTAACAGTGTTAAGCTGGGGTATTGAGTGAAGAGAGACAGAGATGTACAACAGAGAGCGTATATTACGATCACGAGAGATAACAAGATAACAGGATTAATACTGGGGAACATCGGGTTATTACAATAAAGGCCGCGGTTATTATTACGACAGGGTAAGCGGTCGTTACATAACCATTCAATGTTGATTTCAAGATTAACCAACCCGTGGATCAATAGGTATTCTGTTCTGTCTTTTTCATGTATTTAGTACGAAACATACACCCACACCTCCATATATAATTTCAAAATTAGATATAAGGAAATAGGTCATGAAATGTTGCATTACACCACCGGCGGCTGCAAAGGCGGGGCCCAGGAGCTAAGATCTTGATCTACAAGCAGAAAGTGATGAGAAGTGCGCCACGCTGCCACAAGGTAATTCATCCGTGATATAACAAATTCAAAAATTCAAATTCAAATTCAAAATTAAACTGAAAATTCCACCCCGCTAGAAACCTGTATTCACCAAGTTGTATTCCCCTAATTATGCTTGCGGGGGTTGAGCTCTAGTTTTTGGGCTCGCTGAGGTCAAAAGGTGGTCATCCTCAGTTGTTGTCGTTAAAGATTTGCTACCTGGAACAAAGTTCCAAGTAGCACGGGCTATGGTGAGCCCGTAGTTCTCATCCTCAAGCTGTAGAGGATGACCAGAGCTTGAGGGAGAGGTGGTGGTGGGGGAGATTGGTGTTGGGGGTGAAAGTAGTTGAATAGTTAGGAAGGTTGTTGGAGAAACAGTAGGTGGAGTGGTGGAGAGTGGTAGTATGTAGTGGTGGAGATTGGCGAGTGTGTGGAATTGGTCAGACTATGATGTTTGTTGGAGAGAAAGTGGAGGCGTGTTGTTGGTGGAGAGAAAGTTGCTTCTCCCTCCCTTCCTTCAAGCTATGTATCGCTCTCTCTCCCTCTGTCTCTCTCTCTCTGTGTCTCTCTCTGTGTGTGTGTGTCTCTCTCTCTCCCTATCTCTCTCTGTCTCTGTCTCTGTCTCTCTGTCTCTCTCTCTCTCTGTCTCTCTCTCTCTGTCTCTCTCTCTCTGTCTCTCTCTCTCTCTCTCTCTCTCTCTCTCTCTCTCTCTCTCTCTCTCTCTCTCTCTCTCTGTCTCACTCTCTCGTAATCATCTTATCTATTCCCCCTACAGTATGCTTCAGTAGCCGGGGGTCACATCCACCACAGTTCACCTCCAATCTTTAACAACCACTTTTCCGTTTGAAAGAAGTTTAAAATTTTGAACCTAGTCAACGGTTTTCTACAAATCTGGGCAGACCTTCAGGATTTCAGAGCTGACATAAGACTCATTAACCGAGACAGAATCTTTTGAATTCAAACTAAACTTTCCTTAGGCATAACTTCTACGTTTAGCCGAACGAAACTTCGGCTAAACTATAATAAACGATAGGTAAACGAAATTATGAGCGTTAGGTTTATAAAAACGCGGGAGTTTTGAATTCGTCTAAAAAAAAAAAACGGTTTTCAGATTTCGAAAACTGATTTTGTTTTTTTTCTGCCCATCATCGCCCTCGGCCAACCACTGATCTGACAGGATGCTACCCACAACAGTTGCGCATGTCCCGGGGTACCTATTTACTGCTAGGGGAGGAAAATTATGTGTAAGGAAATGTGCCTAAACGTCTCCGTCGTGTGTGGGAATGTAATCAGGACCGTTACAGACTCGCATTCAAATTTGAAGTCATTTGAAGGTAACGGAAACTGAGTTTTAGCAAATGGGTTTTGGTCTCGTAGTTAGAGGTCGTTTTAATGACTTAATCAGCCAGTTCAGATGAACACTGAACATGCTAGAGACGTCATAATACCTCGTGACGTCACATGGCCTCGTGACGTCACACAGCTTCGTGACGTCACAAGACACGTGTTTGATGTCAACAAACATCTGTGGTAAGGGAGGCAGCTTCATTATTAACGAGCGGGGTCTAAGACCTGATAAAAAAATATGCACCCCTCTACGTCATAGCTACTCTATAACCCAACCTATTCCAACCTAACCTAACCCAACCTAACCTATCCTAAACCAACCTAACGTATCCTAACCCAACCTAACGTATCCTAACCTATCCTAGCCCATCCTAACCTATCCCTACGAAAGTAAGAGGTTTTAGAGAAAGTACAGGTGTTAGACCCCCACTGGTATTAAATGTCCAGCGTGAGCTTGTTAATAACGAACAATAACGGAGATGATTGTGGTAATGTATCGCTAAATGACTCCCGAGAGTAGAGAAAGTAGTGCCCAACCGCGTTCACGCAGCTCGGAGCGTGACGAGCCTAAACATTGCTTCTACGGTGCTTCAGGCTTCTCGGTTCTCAGTTCAATAAACTTGATTTACAACACAGGGGGAAGGAGTGAAGGGAACTGGAAGAGAGCGCTTTCTCAATTTAAATTTCACTTGGGGGGGATATAAGATAGACTAAGGGTTAGGATACGAGGACAAGGATCTGGTATAGGACGGAGGGAAGGAATAGTGCCCAACCACTTGGACTATCCGGAAGTACCACTTGGTACTTCCCGATAGTCCGGGATAGATACTTCCGATAGTCCCGATAGATAGATAGTTCCGATAGATACTTCCCGGGAACCTATGAAGAATTTCTAGGTTTCTGTGAACCTAGACTACGAAGAATTTCCAAGTTTTCACGGAAAGCCTGGAAATTGTTAAAAAAAAAACCCGGTTAATAGATTGAGCTACGACATGGTCAAAAGAGTTGAAACCGAAGTTCTACTGAACTTACTAGATCCTGCAGCCTCTCCGAGGTGTGTTATGCTTGCGGGGGGTTGAGCTCTAGCTCTTTGGTCCCCTGTTTGAGTGCGCGTTACTCGGTACAACAAGCTTCCTGTCTCTAGACGGAGAAATTGATAAGCCGATGTGGGATTGTGTGGTTATAGATAGGAGCTGCCTCGTGTGGGCCAATAGGCCTTCTGCAGTTACCTTTGTTCTTATGTTCGTTTGGTGGAGGGGATTTAGATTTGTTTACCCTAAAATATGAGTGCTTGAAAACATTTTCTTTAATCTTAAATTCGCTCTCGGATTAAAGAAAATGTGTTCACATATTCAAATTTTAGGGTAGACTTTTTCTTTCGTTATCGGGGCTTATATAAACTTAAAGAGGACCCATAGAGCAATGACTGACCGTTCACAAAATGCAACCCACAAGAGTTGCCTAACTCCCGGGTACCTGTTTACTACTAGATGAAAACAGGAGGTATTAAATGAAAGAAAAACGTTAGTGACAGGACAATGGAAATTGTCCTGGAGAACGTGTCACAGTATTAAAACAAAACAGAATATTGTTCGAACTCAAAATTCTCTGTAACAAATTGTAATTTTGCTTGTTTTGAATCTATATACAATTGTTCACGGCATGAAGTATGTACTTCGGTAATGGTCACGATCCACGAACTATCGCAGAGGTAATTTAACCGAGTAGATGGTTTGTAGTTAAGGATCAGTAGAAACATGGCATCACTTTTACACAAGGAAATAGAACAAGGAAAAATGGTTGAATATTCGATGGCTACAGAGAGCTGTGGTGGCAAGGCGGCTCCTGTTGCTGTGTTTGTTGTTGTTATAGATTCAGCTACTCGGAACAAGTTCCAAGTAGCACGGGCTATGGTGAACCCGTAGTGGACTTACCTGGCACAGGAGCGGGGCAAGTAGCACGGGCTATGGTGAACCCGTAGTGGACTTACCTGGCACAGGAGCGGGGCAAGTAGCACGGGCTATGGTGAGCCCGTAGTGGACTTACCCGGCACAGGAGCGGGGCAAGTAGCATGGGCTATGGTGAGCCCGTAGTGGACTTACCCGGCACAGGAGCGGGGCAAGTAGCACGGGCTATGGTGAGCCCGTAGTGGACTTACCCGGCACAGGAGCGGTGTTGCTGTGGTGATCTGTGATGCTGTTACTCCGGTGATGATGTTCACTTGTTATTTCGGTGATCTACAATGGCCTGTCGAAGAACACGTCGCTTGGCGGCAATCTGTAAACATGCCTTTTTAATCGTCCTTATCACGCTTCTCTGTCGACTTGCTCTTGTCCGTATCGCCGACGAGGCTCCGAGACGAACTGGAGAAGACTCAAGAGGCAAGATCGAAGCTGTTGGTGACGATGTAGTGACACCGGAGGAGATTAATCAGGCGCTGGAGAAACTCAAGATAGGACTCAGTCGCATCTCGATCCCGTGTCGTCGCTTGGTGCGGATGGGCGGGAAACTGACATGTTCATGTGAGACCAAGAAGTGTTTGGTGGATGGAGCGAAGCTCGTATGTTTAGACGAAGGCGTTCGGCCTCGGCCCGGCCGCTGTTTTGCTCTCAGCTTCGGCATTGGCTTCGAAACGAGCTTCGACGAGGCCTTGGTGAATTATGGATGTCGGGTCATCGCACTCGATCCTACCAATTCGAACATAACCAACGTTGTTCATGATGTTAGCATAACCGACAAATTGCGGCCAGTAAACAAAATGAATTATTTACACCACAGGAAGTTCCATGCCCTTAACCTGGGTATCGACGCCAAGGCATCTACAATGATCCTCAATATAACTACGGATGGTGTTGGCTATTTAAATAGCATCGCTTCGTTTGTCACCTACAAAGCCATACTCGACACGCTAGACAATCCTCGTGTCGACCTCCTGAAGATCGACATCGAAGGTGTCGAGTGGAGAGTTCTCAAACAGCTTTTGAGTTCACCAGACGCTCGGCATCTCTTGGAACACACGCGCCAAATTCTACTTGAAGTTCACTTGGACTTCCTCGTGAATGTCGCGAACGCGGACGATATCTTCGACGGAACGATAACCACGCTATCGACTCTACGACTCCTCGAACAGTTTGGCTTCTACATCGCTGCGTATGACCTGAATGAAACTGGTCAGAAATATTTCGTCTTCAAGGAAGTCAAAATACCTCTATATCGTGAGCTGACACTAGTCAAGAGATTCCCCTAAAGTTTATAGTTGATAAACATGTTATGAAAAGGAAATTATAAGGAAGCACTAAGCCAGTATAACCATTTAAGAACATAAGAACAAAGGTAACTGCAGAAGGCCTATTGGCCCATACGAGGCAGCTCCTATCTATAACCACCCAATCCCACTCATATACATGTCCAACCCGCGCTTGAAACAATCGAGGGACCCCACCTCCACCACGTTACGCGGTAATTGGTTCCACAAATCAACAACCCTGTTACCGAACCTGTATTTACCCAAGTCTTTCCTAAATCTAAACTTATCACAAACTCCATGTGATAAACTTATTTATTACATGGAGAAGACATGAGAACAGTATAGGAGCTGGGATGAGAGGACGGAGGGCAAGAAAGATGCCCAATCACTTTGACTTTCAAAGATCGAACACTCAAAGGCTTACCCCCGCTCTTCAGTGAATATACGAAGAAAACGTTACCCCCTTTAACAGTGTTCTGGAATTCAAGTATATTTGCTGGTTGGGCAGTAAGCTAGTAGTCGAGGCCATCCTTAAATCTTACGTAAGTGTACTTACGAAGATTTTCCCTCTTAAATGCGTACCTGAATACCGACGTAGTCGCTAAGAAGAAAAACATTCGTAAGTACATACGTAACTGCAGGCGAGGAGTCACAATACCGTGGCTAAAGTATGTTGACCAGACCACACACTAGAAGGTGAAGGGACGACGACGTTTCGGTCCGTCCTGGACCATTCTCAAGTCTGGGCTCTAGAATGGTCGAAACGTCGGACGTCCCTTCACCTTCTAGTGTGTGGTCTGGTCAACGTACGTAACTGCTTCGTGAATCTGGCCCCTAATGTTAGAAGCCTCTCATGTATATATTACTGTATTGGGGGGTAGAAAAAATACACCTTATTCACAAATATACATTTTATACAGGTTGTATTAGGCGACATGTACACATAGGTGTATCCTATCGATCTACATATACACCACGAGTTTACAGTAGTCCTGTAATATGTCCAGGGCTAGAGTATACTTACTGGCTGGTCAGTAAACCAGTTGATTGGCCATAAGTCAAACCCAAAAACCACCTCAGAAGAAAACGATGCTGTTGGGTTATTTAGAGGTAATGAATCAAGACGGAAAATATATTACTTGAGATGGGTTACAAGGAATGTAATGAGATCGAACTCGGATCTGTGGCCTCAAGTTACAGCCAATATCGAATAAACCAATGAGCTCATCACGGTTCAGTCGGTAATGCATGTGACTGATGGGAGTCCAAGGGCCAGATTCACGAAAGCACTTACGAACCTGTACATCTTTTCTCAATCTTTGGCGGCTTTGTTTACAAGTATTAAACAGTTAATGAGCTCCGAAGCACCAGGAGGCTGTTTATAACAATAACAACAGTTGATTGGCAAGTTTTCACGCTTGTAAACTGTTTACTAAATGTAACCAAAGCCGTTAAAGATTGAGGAAAGATGTACACGTTCGTAAGTGCTTGCGTAACTGCTTCATGAATCTGGGCCAAGGTTTGTAATTGATTATAATTGATTAATTAAATCATTTTATAGCTTGTACACAGTTTGTCTAGCTGAAGTTTTGTATAATTTCAATTTATGGTTTACAAATGTGTGTATAATTAATAAGTGTATTAGAATTAATACATGTGTATTAGAAATACATAATACAGAGTATTATACATATTTAAGCTTACCTTTTGTATTTTAATCAATTCCTATTAATTGGTCAGTTATGGTATGATTTATATAGAAAGGTTATATAGATTATATATAATTATATAGAAGTTCTTGAAGCTAACTCTTTTCCAAGTTTTAAATGTAAACATGATAAAAACTTGAGAAATGAGTCATTCCATCAATTTAAGAACGTTTGAAAGGCGGGGCCCAGGAGCCTAACTCAACCCTGCAAGTACACATACACAACTACTTCTGTTTGGCAACACTGCACAGGAAATCAGTGATAAATTAGGATTTATGGCATTTGTGGCAACACTGGTTGCCATACCCCCTACAGTCAGTGTGTACTCACCTAGTTGTGCTTGCGGAGGTTGAGCTTCGGCTCTTGGGTCGCGTGTGTACGAGAGACAGTCGTGTTTTGAACACTCCTCACCAGGAAGGAGATTATGAGAAAGCGACATGCCAATATGGTGGTGTAGAATACAGTGGGGGGGATACTAGGAGCTGGTATAGCAGGATTGAACGACGGAACGGTGTCAAACAGGTTGGATTAGCGGGGATCGAACGCCGACCCTGCAAGAAGCCAGTATGATGTATAGCACCTGGAAGGGATAGAGAGAGAGAGAGAGAGAGAGAGAGAGAGAGAGAGAGAGAGAGAGAGAGAGAGAGAGAGAGAGAGAGAGAAGGTCGCCAGGTACAACAATACTGACTCGCATGTACGATATCTTATGTTGACGCTGGCTGACTTGATGTAAACACTCTCTCTCTCTCTCTCTCTCTCTCTCTCTCTCTCTCTCTCTCTCTCTCTCTCTCTCTCTCTCTCTCTCTCTCTCTCTCTCTCTCTCTCACTCACTAATGAGCGTAGATCACCTCATTTCTCCCTGCTTAAGTGGCAGCTCATGGAACGCTTACAGTTCCAATTGGGCAGCTGCTTAGCGCTTTTGAAATCCTTCCTCATTGTAACTATTCAGTAGCGTGGTTTATAAAGCTATCGTCTCCCACTCTTGGAGTCGGGGGTTCGAGACTCCTAGTACCCAAATTAATGAAATGTTATTATCCATATATATAATATATATATATAGGTTTCTTATCCCTGAAAACGGGGATTTTTTTATGACATGAGGCAGCGCCGGGTCCGAGATGAGGATGGAGCGACTTCAAACCAACCCTAACCTGTTTCTACCCGCTGTAACCCTCCTGGCTATTGCTAGGAGTTCCGGGTCATGTCTCGTGAAGCACTTACGTGTCCTGTTACGAAACCTTTACATCTTTTCCTCTATCAGCTTCGTTGATATTTAGTGAACAGTTTAGGAGCTAGGAAACGCTGCGAGGTTGTTCTGAAGCCAAGTATAGTTCGTAGCGTAATTTGTTGCAAATTAGGAAGCCATGATAGAGGAAAGATGTACAGGTTTCGTCAGTAGACACACAAATACTTGATGAATCAAGGGCGTGGTAGGGTATACAGCTAAGCCGAACATACAGGTTATCTCTTGCATGCTGGGATCTACTCCAGAGGGGTAGATCCCACCGGGGCCTAGTAGATACGGGCCACCAGCGTCACATCTACTCCAGCGGGGGGACACTAGCATCACATCTACTCCAGTGGGGGGGACACTAGCATCACATCTACTCCAGCGGGGGGACACTAGCATCACATCTACTCCAGCGGGGGGACACTAGCATCGTCCACGAAGCCCGGAGAGTTCGGTCTCTCAAGAGAGTTGGTGAGACGGGCACCAGGACCCGCCACATTGCTGGGGGCGCCGCCAGAGGGCCCTACGATGTTGCAATAGTCTATTTGACTTCCCACCTCGTCCACCTCTAGGTAGTTGACCTCTCTGCAACACAATAAACCATCGTATCATTATGCAACATATTTAAGGGTAGATATATATAATGACTCCTGCAGCCAGGATTTGATCAGGATTTAATATATAAACTCCTGGGGCCAGGATTTGATCAGGATTTAATATATAAACTCCTGGGGCCAGGATTTGATCAGGATTTGATATATAAACTCCTGGGGCCAGGATTTGATCAGGATTTGATATATAAACTCCTGGGGCCAGGATTTGATCAGGATTTAATGTATAACCTCCTGGGGCCAGGATTTGATATATAAACTCCTGGGGCCAGGATTTGATCAGGATTTAATGTATAACCTCCTGGGGCCAGGATTTGATCAGGATTTAATATATAAACTCCTGGGGCCATGATTTGATCAGGATTTGATATATAAACTCCCGGGGCCATGATTTGATCAGGATTTGATATATAACCTCCTGGGGCCAGGATTTGATCAGGATTTAATATATAAACTCCTGGGGCCAGGATTTGATCAGGATTTAATATATAAACTCCTGGGGCCAGGATTTGATCAGGATTTAATATATAAACTCCTGGGGCCAGGATTTGATCAGGATTTGATATATAAACTCCTGGGGCCAGGATTTGATCAGGATTTAATATATAAACTCCTGGGGCCAGGATTTGATCAAGCAACCTGTACGTCTTATCGTAATTATGGGAGCTTTGTTTACATTTATTTTAAACAGTTTACGAACGTTGGAATTTCACAACCCGAGGTTGTTGTTATAAACTTCGAAGCCCAACGAGGCTGTTTATAAGCTATTAAATGTAAACAAAGCCGCCATGATTGGGGGAAAGATGTACAGGTTTCGTCAGTGGCTGTGTAAATGCTTGATGAATCCTGGCGTTGGATAATTATATTTAGTTTCAAGTGATATTTTTTTGCCTGACGGTGTAATAACTGGATTATCAAAGTAACAGTTTGAAGGCTTGATTATTGTATTTGTAGTCTGTGTGTGTGTGTGTGTGTGTGTGTGTGTGTGTGTGTGTGTGTGTGTGTGTGTGTGTGTGTGTGTGTGTGTGTGTACTCACCTAATTGTGCTTGCGTAGGTTGAGCTCTGGCTCTTTGGTCCCGCCTCTCAACTGTCAATCAACTGGTGTACAGATTCCTAAGCCTACTGGGCTCTATCATATCTACATTTAAAACTGTGTGTGTGTGTGTGTGTGTGTGTGTGTGTGTGTGTGTGTATTCACCTAGTTGTGCTTGCGGGGGTTGAGCTCTGCTCTTTCGCCCCGCCTCTCAACTGTCAATCAATCAACTGTTACTACCTACTAACTAATTTTGTGTGTGTGTTACACTACATGAGCTTGAAGGGCCGAGTGCTAGCTCCTAAGCCCCGCCTCGGTGTACGGTTCTTCTGTTTATCCCGATTAGAGGCCAGATCCCAACAGTGTTTACAAGTGCTAAGGGGAGAGCAGTTTTTATATAAATCTACAGGTGTGCCGGATCATGCAGGGCTCCTTGATGATTGTGGTTGGCATTACGTAAGGGCGTATAGGTACTTGTTATTGCTGGTTACCTGACCAAGGTTTGCCAACGTCGATTGATGAAGATTAAGCCACCCAAAAGGTGGCACGGGCATGAATAGCCCGTAAGTGGTGGCCCTTTTGAGCCATGTGGAGATCTGTGGAGGTGCGACTGCACCCTGCGTGACGGGAGATGTCTCCTGTCTGCCAGCGTCATATGTTGTTGTTGTTATAGATTCAGCTACTCAGAACAAAAGTTCCAAGTAGCACGGGCTATGGTGAGCCCGTAGTGGACTTACCTGGCACAGGAGCGGGGCAAGTAGCACGGGCTATGGTGAGCCCGTAGTGGACTTACCTGGCACAGGAGCGGGGCAAGTAGCACGGGCTATGGTGAGCCCGTAGTGGACTTACCCGGCACAGGAGCGGGGCAAGTAGCACGGGCTATGGTGAGCCCGTAGTGGACTTACCTGACACAGGAGCGGGGCAAGTAGCACGGGCTATGGTGAGCCCGTAGTGGACTTACCTGGCACAGGAGCGGGGCAAGTAGCACGGGCTATGGTGAGCCCGTAGTGGACTTACCTGGCACAGGAGCGGGGCAAGTAGCACGGGCTATGGTGAGCCCGTAGTGGACTTACCTGGCACAGGAGCGGGGCAAGTAGCACGGGCTATGGTGAGCCCGTAGTGGACTTACCTGGCACGGGAGTGGTGCCGTCTCTCTCCTGCCAGCGTCAGGAAAACGGTCAATTTAAAGTGGTCTCTCCTAACCTACCAGAGGACCCAAAACAGAAAACGGGACAGTACGTCACTTTCGCCAAGCGCTTCTATTTTCTATTACAATTTTTATCCTTATGTAACGCCTACGAGCGAAAAGCGACGTTCTTTGTAAGAGGAAGAGGTTGACCTGACAGTACACGGGGTGAGGAGGGCTAGTTCTTCCTTCTCCTAGTCGTACCTGGTCGTCGAAGTCGTATTGGTTGAGGCCTGAGGCGGACGAGCACCTTGCGTAGAGACAGCTCCAAGAGACGTGATCTCCGGCAAGCAAGTCTTCATCAGACGTGAGGCAGGAGCCGTCTGTGATCACAAGAAAACCATAAACAAAGCCGCCATGATGAAAATAAGAGGTGTCGTAAGTATAAATGTTTGTGAATCTGACCCCAGAGGGTATCTACTGACCTTGGGCATAGTGACGAGGAGCTGGCCAGTGACCTGTGACCTGTGGGCCGTGGCTCGGTCCGACCTGACCTCCTCCAGGAGTACCAGTTGGAGCACCTTGCCCCGTACCGTCACCCGTACGTACCAAGGCTCCACATCGCACGCCACCAGGGAAGCATCCAGGTACCTGTACACACACATGGTACGTGAAGCTGGCTATGTAAAGTTCTCTCTCTCTCTCTCTCTCTCTCTCTCTCTCTCTCTCTGTGTCTCTCTCTCTCTCTGTCTCTCTCTGTCTGTCTCTCTGTCTCTGTCTCTGTCTCTCTCTCTGTCTCTGTCTCTGTCTCTCTCTCTCTCTGTCTCTGTCTCTCTCTCTCTGTCTCTGTCTCTGTCTCTCTCTCTCTCTCTCTCTCTCTCTCTCTCTCTCTCTCTCTCTCTCTCTCTCTCTCTCTCTCTCTCTCTCTCACGTTTCTGTTTAGGCAAAAGAGTTGCATTTTTTACGGAGTGGCAAATTGAATCAAGGGACTGTAGTAAGAATCCTCAAGGAGGAGGGTGAGGAAGGACCACTCACTTGTAGGTGTCGACCTTGAGGATGAAGGAGTTGCTCTGCTCGTCCTCGGTGAAGTGGAACTCGAGTTTAGCCGCATTGACGTTAAGAGGTCGGCCGTCACTAGTAAAAAGCCTCACCTCTCTCTTCTGACAAGTAAAAAACGGGTCGAAAAGTTATCGATACTCATTAAAACCTATTCTATCCCACCCTAACTTGTTCTAACCTATCCTTAAATAACCTATACTGTCCTATCCTAACCTATCATAAATAGTAGCCTATGCTCTTAAAAAAATTAAAATCTAGCCTAATCTATCCTAACATTTTTTTTAATATTTTCTCCCTATTCTGAAAATGTTAATTATCTCACGCCTATTCCTCTTTCCCAGGATACAGCAACCTACAACAGCTGCCTAATTAACTAACAAACTAACTAACTCTAACCTTAGTGGAGTTATCGTTAGTGGCGTTGGTTTCCCGTTGGCGCCGAAGGGCGAGGCGTCTGTGGGTGGCGAGGCGGGATTCTGGCGTATGATAGCTGGCTTCTTTCCACCATCTGAAACAAACATGTGAAAGTTAGAGACCTAGAGACGCATTACACGGGCTATTCGTTACCCCGCTCCTGTGCCAGGTATGCTACGGGCTCACCATAGCCCGTGCTACTTGGAACTTGTTCCGAGTAGCTGAATCTATAACAACAATAGACGCATTAAACACAGACATGTGACTATGTTGCATAGGAGACATGGCGACGTATTGAACACAAACATGTGACTATGTAACATGGGAGATCTACAGATGTATTAAACACATACAAATATGTGGCTATGTATCATATGAGACATAGAAATGGGTAGACACATGGAGAAAAAGACATATGATACAGCTGTCCCAGGGTGCAAGAGATTAACAGGGAAATAGTGAGACAAAGTTGCAGTAGGATTCTGATGCAGAGATACAGTGAGACATACAGATACTGTTATAGATAAACTCGTAAAAGATACTGTCAAATGTGAGTACACAGGACGATGGTGGTACAGATACATAAACTACACCGTTCACCCTAACAAGCCCATCAGAAGACGGTGATTACCATCCACACACTCAGATTTGCGAACTTTGAGACGTACAGGGGTAAGGAGTCGTATAAAATATTTGCGTGTCCATTCACGAAACCTGTATATATCTTTCTTGGGTCATGGCGCCTTACTTACCATTTATTAATCAGTTTACGAGCTGGGGAAACGTTACGAGGTTATTCACAATAACCTCGTAACGCTTCCCATCTCGTAACTGTTTGATAAATGTAAACAAAGCCGCCATGATTGAAGAAAGGCGTTAGTATTTTGAAACGGTTCACTCGGTTTTGGAAACGTTTTGCGAGCGTAATAGTATGCAAAGCTCACTATTTCCCAAAGGTTTTCGTCATTTAATATAGAGTTTGGAGGAAGGTAGACGAAATAGTTCTGTTAGCTTACTCTTCATCGTTCTTAAAGTCCTCCTGGTCCTTCTCCATGAGGCTTCGTTTGTATTCTTCTCTCTCCCTTGTTCTTGCCTCTGCAAGGAATTTGTCAGTGATAATACACCCATACACGTATATATATACACGTATATACATCGTCAGTAATTTTCCTCGTGATACAAACTCTCATACAGGGTAAAGTACGTTTATTGAGGCAATGAAATACATCTTTAAGGGATAGAGCAGCTTAGAATATTTCTACCCTCTGAACTCTCATACATATAAATACATGTATATACATTGTCATCAGCATAATACACACACACACACACACACACACATCCAAGAGTCAATGCTCGATCCTGCAAGCACAAATAGGTTAGTACAAATAGGCGAGTATACACACACACATATATACACACATTATATACCATGTATACCCAGAATAACAGCTGGCAGAGACGCCATGGTGTGAATCATTCATATCTCGTCAATCTCAATTGCTAACAAGTCGATTATGCAATTGCACTCGACAACAAGAGGCCAGAATCCGGTTACAGTATTTGGGAAGACTGATAATCCGGTTACTGTATTTGGGAAGACTGAAAATCCGGTTAATGTATTTGGTAAGTGTGGAAATCCGGTTATATGGTTAGCGTTGTACGTAGATATTGGAGTCAAGGTTGAATATTTGAGGATAACAGTTTGTTTCTAGTTAAACTTACGGGTTTAGTAACCTCCCATGTTTACGAACACTGGTTCTAAATCATTCTGTAGATTCGAACAGCCTCTCTTAAGTCCATTTGTATATTCGAACACACGTAACATGATACGCATTCAAACACGTACATGCTTACATGGCTAATTACACTAATATATATATATATAATGTACACACAAAGTGATGTGGTGGAGGCTGACTCCATACACAGTTTCAAATGTAGATATGATAGAGCCTAATATGGTCGGGAATCTGTACACCTGTTGATTGCAAGTTGAGAAGCGGGACCTAGAGCCGAAGCTCAACCCCCACAACTAGGGGAATACACACACACACACACACACACACACACACACATACCAAGAGCCTGTTGCTGGTCGACCTTGACGGTTGACTGAGCCAGGGTCAGGCCTTGGAGAGCCCTAAGTCGCTCTGATCTGTTGATGGAGGTCCCATCTAACTCCTCCAGTCCAGGCAAGTTACACAGTACCCAGTCCCGGTACCCACGGTACGCGGTGCACGGGTTACCTGTTAAGTACCTGTGGAAGAACACACACACACTGCTTGTATCCCGGTACAGTTTTTACCTGTGGAAAAATACAGCCTAGTGTACGGAGTGGACGCTAGCACAATATCCTGAGGCACTACCTGCCTCCTAGACCTCTGCTTCACTATACTCATCATCAGAATACTAATTTCGCCTCACCATCTTCACTACAGGTTTGTGTCTCACGTTTTTATATTCCACCATTCCCCTCCCCCCCACAGAGTTTTATGAATTTAATTATTTGGGTAACTGGATTTCTGGAATAAAATTACTTTTATCTCCCAGATGAAGCGGAAGATAATGACTAAAACCTAACATAGGTCTAACCCAATAACGTAGGTCTAATGTATATTAGGCCTAGCTTCTTGGGTTGAGTGTAGGTTAGGTAAGGTTTTATATCATCGACGTCCATTGTACATGCCATTGTCTGCACAAAATGACCCCTACATCAATAGTATGTCCACAAACTAACCCCCACATCAATAGTATGTCCTCAAACTAGTCCCCACATCAATAGTGTGTCTGTTTGACACACAATAGTGTGTCAAACCCCACATCAATAGTGTGTCCACAAACTGACCCCCACATCAATAGTATGTCCACAAACTAACCCCACATCATTAGTATGTCCACAAACTAACCCCCACATCATTAGTATGTCCACAAACTAACCCCCACATCATTAGTATGTCCACAAACTAACCCCCACATCAATAATATGTCCACAAACTAACCCCCACATCAATAATATGTCCACAAACTAACCCCCACATCAATAGTATGTCCACAAACTAACCCCACATCAATAATATGTCCTCAAACTAGTCCCCACATCATTAGTATGTCCACAAACTAACCCCCACATCATTAGTATGTCCACAAACTAACCCCCACATCATTAGTATGTCCACAAACTAACCCCCACATCAATAATATGTCCACAAACTAACCCCCACATCAATAGTATGTCCACAAACTAACCCCCACATCAATAATATGTCCACAAACTAACCCCCACATCAATAATATGTCCACAAACTAACCCCCACATCAATAGTATGTCCACAAACTAACCCCACATCAATAGTGTGTCCACAAACTAACCCCACATCAATAGTATGTCCACAAACTAACTCCCACATCAATAATATGTCCTCAAACTAGTCCCACATCAATAGTGTGTCTATTTGACACACAATAGTGTGTCAAACTAACCCCACATCAATAGTGTGTCCACAAACTAACCCCACATCAATAGTATGTCCACAAACTAACTCCCACATCAATAGAATGTCTACAAACTGACCCATCCATCTAACTACACACACACACACACGGTTGAGAGGCGGGACCAAAGAGCCAGAACTCAACCCCCGCAAGCACAATTAGGTGAGTACACACACACAACTCATCTTCAACGCACAATTCCGTGAGGTTGGGCAGGTCCTGTAGGCTGCTGACGGAGGTGAGGTCGCAGATGAAGTTGGCCGTGAGGTCCAGCTTCCTAAGGGCCTCGCACCGCTGCAGGCCCTCGACCCTCTCCACATTGTTGAGGGCCAGGTTGAGGTACTCCAGCTCTCGCAGGCGTCCCACGTTCTCTGTGGGTTACTTGGTTACGTTGTTTTAGATTCAGCTACTCGGAACAAAACGTTCCAAGTAGCACGGGCTATGGTGAGCCCCGTAGTTTTATACTTACCTGGCACAGGAGCGGGGCAGTAACTTGGAGGTCACCCGGTGGGACAAACTACGTTCATTAAACGTTACTCGAGCGAGGAAATGATGTTTGAGTAACGTTAAGTCAAGGCAGCATCAGCGTAAATTCAGTGTTTACATGATTGTCGTTTGTCACTTGTTTAGCTGTGATTCTACGTTATTGATTCCAGAACAAATGGTCTAACTGCAGGCCTGGTACTTCCGGTATGCAATACACAGCTTACCAGTTAAATACATGTGAAAGAACCAACCCGTTCTCGAGTCCATTCCATCCAGCGGTCGACCCCACAGATGAATTCATAAATTTATACATGCGGTTCATTCAAAACGTGAATTTTCTCAAATATAAATTAATATTATAATGGATTAGCATATTGTGCATATATAGACATAGGTTAGGTTAGGTGTTTAGGTTCTGTTGGCGATTATTTGTATTTGTAGTACGTGAGTGAAGCATTTACAGCGTTGTGGTTCGAACACAAGTCGTCAGTGAAGCACTTGTTCCGGAAGTGTTCGGACGTCAACAGTTGTGAGTCGTGTGTAAACCGTTTCTCATTTATAAACAGCTGGGGGTTTGGCGGGTGCATGGAATCACTTTCGGGTCTTTGTTTGGAGGACGGGTTGCAGGCCCGGTACTTTGGAAATTATTGCAAATGGCAATAATTTGCTAAACTTTCTCAATGTTTACGTTACGATAGCTTGAAAATTTAGGTTCATTGAGACGCCTGTGAATGGAGTCATTCATATATTCCCTGTTTACAATCCCGGCATTTGTTGATAAACAATGCTGTTCTGTAGCGTTCTTTCAGACCATTACGCTTCCTGTGTGAGTTTATTTGTGTTCATTCAGCGCTTATTTATGTCAAATCAGGCTACTTCGGATTAAAATCAGAAAGGCAAGCTTGGCTATCAGTCTTATTGCATCTAATACGCCATATTTTTTACGGAATTGATTAATCCGTTGAAAATGCGACGTATTACTAAGCATAAAAACACCGAAATATTAACGTTGTCCATGCATCAACCTCGTTAGGCTATAAGTGGGTTGCTTGGGTTTGTAAGCTTCTACTTAGACAAAACAGTTAGGCTTTAGAGGTAGAGATGAGAATTAGATTTTTTTGGAATTAGAATTAGAGGCTTTTATTGGTAACCACTTAAAGCATTGTAATTGAGGTCGACTTTAAACAGGTGTACGGTATATTAACTTATATTTTTTGAACTAAAAAAATGTTGCTTACAAGTTGAGTTGTGATATGAACTTGTGAATATGGCGTTTCTCGCATAAGCTTTGACGAAACTGAACTTGCACAAGTCTTGACGAAGCTGTGATCTTGCACAAGCCTTGACGAAGCTGTGATCTTGCACAAGCCTTGACGAAGCTGTGATCTTGCACAAGCCTTGACGAAGCTGTGATCTTGCACAAGCCTTGACGAAGCTGTGATCTTGCACAAGCCTTGACGAAGCTGTGATCTTGCACAAGCCTTGACGAAGCTGTGATCTTGCACAAGCCTTGACGAAGCTGTTATCTTACTGCACAAGTCTTGACGAAGCTGTGATCTTGCACAAGCCTTGACGAAGCTGTGATCTTATTGCACAAGACTTGACGAAGCTGTGATCTTATTGCACAAGACTTGACGAAGCTGTGATCTTATTGCACAAGTCTTGACGAAGCTGTGATCTTATTGCACAAGCTTTGACGAAGCTGTGATCTTATTGCACAAGTCTTGACGAAGCTGTGATCTTATTGCACAAGTCTTGACGAATCTGTGATCTTATTGCACAAGCCTTGACGAAGCTGTGATCTTAATGAGCAAGTCTTGACGAAGCCTAATGAGGCAATACAGAGCTTCATAAGTAATTAAGAGGACCCCGTAAGTCTAATAAATTCAGAGATGATCCATTAGATAATTTGTAAGTACATGTAGCTACTTGTAAAGTACCTTATACTATACCTTATACTTTTTTAGCTTTGCCCGAAACGCTATGTGTATTAGTGGCTTTAGGTATTGTATGTACTAACTCTATCTATAAATCCAACATTATAATCGTAATTTATCATCTATGTATGTACTTTTACCTGAATAAAAATTTGAATTTGAATTTAAATGAGAAAGTAACGGGAAAATGCGTATAAACGTTAAATAATATTTACTTACCAATCTTGCTAATAAGGTTGCCTTGGAGGTAGAGAATGCGCAGGCGCGGACACCAGCGATGAAGATGTTCGATTTTCTCAATATCTTGCTGGTGAAGAGAGAGCTCCTCGAGGGTATCGAGCTCCCCATCGTTGTGTTCGGCACGCTTTCGGACGAGTTCTGACGTAACTGTTGGCGGGATGATGACAGTTAGCTCAGGAGTTACATTCAAATTCAAAATTTCAAATTCAAATTTGTATTCGGGTAAAAGTACATACATAGATGAGTTACAAACATAATGTTGGATTTACAGATAGAGCTAGTACATACAATACCTAAATCGATACTCGAATCGATAATTGCAAATAAAATTCGTCTTCATCTTGAAAAACATAAATTAATAAATGAGTCGCAACATGGTTTTATAAATGGCCGTTCATGTTTAACAAAATTGTTATCTTTTTATTCTAGCATGGTTGAGGCAGTTGATAGTGGTAAGGATTGTGAAGTTGTGTACCTTGACTTTAGCAAAGCTTTTGATACAGTGCCACATGAAAGACTGATTAAAAAGATAGTCTCATGGTATTGGGGGTGCTATATTAAGTTGGATTAGGGCATGGCTATTCCAAAGGAAAGAGAGTTAGTATAAATGGAATCAAGTCAGAGTGGGAAAATGTTGTTAGTGGAGTACCTCAGGGCTCTGTCCTGGGACCTCTGTTGTTTATAATATATATAAATGATTTAGATTCAGGTTTGAGTAGCAACATTTGCAAATTTGCCGATGATACAAAAATTGGTAGGGAAATTAACACGGAAGAAGACTCACTATCACTTCAAGTTGATCTAAATAGAGTTTTGAAATGGTCAAAGGATTGGCAGGTGCAGTTTAATGCTGATAAATGTAAAGTTCTGATACTAGGTAATGATGATAGAGTTACAAGATACGAGCTAGATGGTGTTGAGATTGCGAAGTCGGATTGCGAAAGGGATCTGGGAGTTATGATTAGTAAGAATTTAAAACAAAAGGATCAATGCATGAATGTTCGTAATAAGGCAAATAGGACCCTGGGATTTATTAAGGATTAATAAATTATTATGGGATGGACTGGGATTATTCTAAGATCTCCAACCACTTGGACGGTCGGGGATTGAACGCCGACCTGCATGAAGTGAAACCGTCGCTCTACCGTCCTGCCCAAATGATTAGAAGAGGATGGAGTATCACAGATGGAAAAGTATCAGGGAAATAACTATCCACTAATGGCAGTGTTCAACCCCCGTGCTATGGAAAATGTTGACGGAGAAGCTCAGGAAAAAATGGTTTACAAAAATAGAATTTGAAATTGAAATTGAAATAAGTTTATTGATGTAAAATCCACACAAAGGGATGAGGTAGCTCAAGCTATTCTCACCCCGTTCAGTACATCGTGTTAATACATACATAGACACACATTACAAACAATAAACATATTACCAAACATTCTGAGAGATAAACATATACATTTCCTCCTTCACAAGTAGTATGGTATCAGACGTACACACAAAAGAATTTGAAGACATTGTTAAAAATAGTTACCTTTTTTGGTAGTAGATGTACAAGTGCTGAGCAAGAAAAAAAAATCAAAATGTTGGGCGTCTCTAACTAAGGGGATATTGGGTCTCAGTGACTTTAAATGTATAGAAGCTGTGAACAAGTTGATGTCGATTTTCAGTGAATTGGCAAAGCGTAGCATAGTTCAGAGTATTGGAACATAGAGGAAATAATTACTGTATCTACTCTGTATTCCTCCTATGTTGGTGAGAGAGAGAGAGAAGATTAAGCCACCCAAAAGGTGGCACGGGCATGAATAGCCCATAAGTGGTGGCCCTTTTGAGCCATTACCAGTATCAATAGATGATACTGGAGATCTGTGGAGGTGCGACTGCACCCTGCGTGACGGGAGATGTCTCCTGTCCCCATGTTGGTGTTAATTATTAATCATGCTTTGTAACATTAGAACATAAGGATCTTATGATGCTTTCACATGTATTTTACATTTCTTCCCACCTATTGCAGGCGAGGAGTCACAATAACGTGGCTAAAGTAAGTTGACCAGACCACACACTAGAGGGTGAAGGGACGACGACGTTTCGGTCCGTCCTGGACCATTTTCAATCGACTTGAGAATGGTCCAGGACGGACCGAAACGTCGTCGTCCCTTCACCTTCTAGTGTGTGGTCTGGTTCCCACCTATTGAAGTGAGAGGATTAATTCATTAGCTCTCTCGCCTCTCATTAGTCTAATCGTCAAGGCTTCATTTATTTCTAAAATTCTATCCCCAATACTCTGTAAGTTCAGTCATATAATCATTATCTCAGTATTTATTGGGCCATGAGAATAATCTTGGGGACGGGAGACATGTCCCGTCACGCAGGGTGCAGTCGCACCTCCACAGATCTCCAGTATCATCTATTGATACTGGAAATGGCTCAAAAGGGCCACCACTTATGGGCTATTCATGCCCATGCCACCTTTTGGGTGGCTTAATCTTCTCTCTCTCTCTCTCTCTCTCTCTCTAATCTTGGGATTATTCTCATGGCTTTACGTTGTATCTTCTCCAACTTTTTACGGGTTATTCATGCCCGTGCCACCTCTTTGGTGGCTTAATCAATCAATCAATCAATCTCCAATTAGTTTAGTCTGTCTTTACCAACACAAAACATGACAGATCTCATAAATAAGAAGAGATCTCACAGTATGCCATGTGATTATCATTGGAATGTGAAATATATAAAATAATTAATAATTGTGTACTGTATGGGTTTGTGAGTTATTGTTGTTTCAGATTTAGCTATTCAGAACGTAGTGTCCATGTAGCACGGGCTATGGTGAGCCCGTAATTAGGTTTGTGAGCCCCTGAAGGGACCTTATATAGACAAGGGTAGAAATAGCCTAAGATACTCTGTCATTTTGAGATGTACTTCCTTTTCTCAATAAACTTACTTGAACTTATATATTTATTTATTTATTTATTTTTTTTTATACAAGAAGGTACATTGGGTTTGTGAGAGTACATTGGGTTTGTGAGAATGTATTGTGTTTACATTCTTGTAAAGAGAATAAGTTCAACTTGAACTTGACCGAGGCTTATATTCATACTCGTAATTATATATATTCATACACGCCAAACGTGTATGAATATACTCTGGCTTCCTGCCCCCCTACACAGTTAATTATGAATTATAGTCGTAAAGGACAATTAGATGGAATTTGGCAATATTCACATTATAAAGTTAGGGAAAAATAAAGCTAAAAAACTAACTTAAATATTCCTAGGCCTAGTATAGCATATAAATGTAGTATATTAGGCCTCAGATAGCGTGCCTTAGGCCTAGGAAGATCAGGTTTGGTTTTAATAGCAATATCAATATAAAAAAAATCCTGTTTGTCTAAATTCAATAGTACCAAATTCTACTTTCTAATTGCCTTTTACGTCAATATATGTAAGATAGTCCTCAGCGTTACTATAAGTACTATCTAAATATAAAGGCTGGGTCGGATATTAGGATAGTAAATGAAATTATTTGTGGTTAATAGTAATTTCTAATCATACAAGTATTAATACTAATACTACTACTACTACTAGTACTGCTACAACTATCAAAATCATTGAGCTCAAACACTTACTTCTTACCATTGCTGCGCGTCTTGTTCAAAGTAACTTTCACTCTGAAATATGCATGTGTTAATAATTAAATATTTGAATAACTAATGTATAACAGAAAGTTTTAACAAATTTCTGTTTGTATTTGCATCTGTAACACTCATGCGATGTTGAGAAAAGAAGTATATAGCATAAATGAGAGTAGTGTTGCATTCTTCTACTATGTGAGAGGGGGGTTTACGTACCAGTTTATAGGGAAATATGATAGAGTTTTGTTAATAATATAATAATCAGCTGATGTGTCGTCTGCAGTTGTTAGGACCGGTTGTCATGGCAACCCAGCGGCCGCCAACACACTCAACACACAACACAATAAAACAAACCCTATCTCGCATATATTCACCTTCCTATCAACTTGAGTTACTATATTTAGCAAGAAAAACACATTACCCGAAGGTATGGATGGTTTTTAGGTTAGATTTACTGGCGTTTAAAGGGAGAAATAAGGCGAGATAGTGGGAGGGGGCCGAGGCGTGTGGCAACTCCACACGGACGCAAGTGCAGCTGGTCGAAGGTTCCAAGAGGTGATGTCTGGTAGATTCAACCAAGATCCTCCCAGTTCCGCCAGCTCCGACAGGTCGGTCTTCCCTCTCAGCGGCCGCAGCATGCCTCGGAGCATATGCCGAGGGGGTATAACCGGCGGTTTTTACCGTCAAGGGACTTAAATTCAGCGAGTGAAAGCTCCGGTCGGGTGTGTTAGCCTCAGCCATTCTGGGGGAGGAAGATGGAATTTAGTGTGAATTGCTTTTTTTTCTCCTTTTGGATGGTAGGAGGAGGTGCAGCATCCTGGTGGGAGATGACGGTGGTCCGGGGGAGGCTGCCTCCCGCCTCGCCGCCCGCCACCACCCAAGTATCGATCCTCACACCAGGATTTGTGGTCGGGGAGTCGAGGCGCTGTGGTGGTCCTGTGGAGCATTGTGAGGGAGGAGGGAGGGAAGTGTGAGGGAGGAGCAGTGTGAGGGAGGAGGGAGGAGCAGTGTGAGGGAGAGAAGGTCAAGTGTGAGGGAGGAGCAGTGTGAGGGAGAGAAGGTCAAGTGTGAGGGAGGAGCAGTGTGAGGGAGAGAAGGTCAAGTGTGAGGGAGGAGCAGTGTGAGGGAGAGAACATCAAGTGTGAGGGAGGGAACATCAAGTGTGAGGGAGGGAACATCAAGTGTGAGGGAGGGAACATCAAGTGTGAGGGAGAGAACATCAAGTGTGAGGGAGGAGCAGTGTGAGGGAGAGAAGGTCAAGTGTGAGCGAGGAGGGAGGGAAGTGTGAGGGAGGAGTGAGGGAGAGAAGGTCAAGTGTGAGCGAGGAGGGAGGGAAGTGTGAGGGAGGAGTGAGGGAAAGAAGGTCAAGTGTGAGCGAGGAGGGAGGGAAGTGTGAGGGAAGTGTGAGGGAAGTGTGAGGGAGGAGTGAGGGAGAGAAGGTCAAGTGTGAGCGAGGAGAGAGGGTCAAGTGTGAGGGAGGAGTGAGGGAGAGAAGGTCAAGTGTGAGCGAGGAGGGAGGGAAGTGTGAGGGAGGAGTGAGGGAGAGAAGGTCAAGTGTGAGCGAGGAGGGAGGGAAGTGTGAGGGAGGAGTGAGGGAAAGAAGGTCAAGTGTGAGCGAGGAGGGAGAGAAGTGTGAGGGAGGAGTGAGGGAAGTGTGAGGGAGGAGTGAGGGAAGTGTGAGGGAGGAGCAGTGTGACGCAGAGAAGGTCAAGTGTGAGGGAGGAGAGAGGGTCAAGTGTGAGGGAGGAGAGATGAAGTGTGAGGGAGGAGGGAGGGAAGTGTGAGGGAGGAGAGAGTGTCAAGTGTGAGGGAGGAGAGAGGGTCAAGTGTGAGTGATGGAGTGTGTGTCAAGTGTGAGGGATGGAGAGAGTGTGTCAAGTGTGAGGGATGGAGAGAGAGTGTCAAGTGTGAGGGATGGAGAGAGTGTGTCAAGTGTGAGGGATGGAGAGAGAGTGTCAAGTGTGAGGGATGGAGAGAGAGTGTCAAGTGTGAGGGATGGAGAGTGTGTGTCAAGTGTGAGGGATGGAGAGTGTGTCAAGTGTGAGGGATGGAGAGTGTGTGTCAAGTGTGAGGGATGGAGAGTGGGTCAAGTGTGAGTGATGGAGAGAGTGTCAAGTGTGAGTGATGGAAAGAGGGTCCAAGTGTGAGTGATGGAGAGAGGGGAGGTCCAAATGTGAGTGATGGAGAGAGGGGAGGTCCAAATGTGAGTGATGGAGAGAGGGGAGGTCCAAATGTGAGTGATGGAGAGAGGGGAGTCAAGTGTGAGTGATGGAGAGAAGGGGTTTAGTGTGAGTGATGGAGAGAGGGGGTCTAGTGTGAGTGATGGAGAGAGAGAGAGGGGTCTAGTGTGAGTGATGGAGAGAGAGAGAGGGGTCTAGTGTGAGTGATGGAGAGAGAGAGAGGGGGTCCAAGTATAAGTGAGGAAGGAGAGCGAGTGAGACGTAAGTGACAGCCGAGTTAGTCACAGTTGAAGAACATCAGTGGGGTTTTGCAAGAATGTAAAAATACCAATCTTATGTAACCTCTCTCAAATCCACTGTACCTTCTTGTAAATAAATAAATTATTATTATTATCAAGCTCATCACCAGGAAGATATTTCTTAAAGGGTTTGGTTATTTTGAGCTTAAAAACTCTGATGCCCATATGGTTTGACCATCTTAACTCACCCTATCACATTGAAAAATAATAATATTGATAATAATAATAATTTTATTCATGCAATAGACAACACGTTGCATAAGTTAAATTGGTTACATAATGGTAAAATAATTATTTATTGTACAAAGCCACACATTACGGATTTGTTGCCAAGCTGCAGCCCTGCTAACTCATGGTAAACCAATGTACTCACCTATTTGTGCTTGCAGGGGTTGAGCTTTGGCTCTTTGTACCAGTTTCCCGGTCAACTTGCAATGTATTGTTTTGCGTTAGTTATGCAATGGTTTAGAATTAATAGAGAATCCTGTGCTTTTAACATTGAGGACTTGGTGAATGTAGGACCCCAGGGCAGTGTGCTATTGTATGTTAATAAAGTAACATAGTTGGCTCACAACTGTAAGGGCCTGAATTTGATTCCTGCAGCAGGAAGGGAACATTTGTGCATATTTCCTTTAAACTGATACCTCTGTTTGCCCAGCAATAAACAGGTACCTGGGAGTTAGTCAACTGTTGTGGGTTGCCTCCTGGGGAAGGTTTGTAATTGGCCTAGGGAGACTTTGAAACGTCTAATGTAACACAATGAAATCGCAAGAATATAATGGATATACAATATGAATAAGGGAGTACCACCTCTGGCTGGAAGAAGGGTCTTTACAGTCTCCGTGGTGTAGTGGTAAGACACTTGCCTGGCGTTCCGCGAGCGCTGTCATGGGTTCGTATCCTGGCCGGGGAGGATTTACTGGGCGCAATTCCGTAACTGTAGCCTCTGTTTAACGCAACAGTAAAATGTGTACTTGGATGAAAAAACGATTCTTCGCGGCAGGGGATCGCATTCCAGGGACCTGCCCGAAACGCTACGCGTACTAGTGGCTGTACAAGAATGTAACAACTCTTGTATATATCACAAAAAAAAAAAAAGGGGGACCCTTACCCTCGGAGGAAACCACAAAGAGGTTGTGCAATGGAATCAAACCTGCGTATGTGCTTGAGGAGTTCAAGGGCACAGGTGTGATTCCATAGTACATTCTCGGTATTTATTCAACTCGATAGGCCTCCTGTCCCCTAACAATTGGAAACAAAGACCCTTAAAAGTTTAAATCAACCAAGTTATAATAGATGATTCGGATAATAGATGCAGTTCCTGTGGCGTAGTGGTAAGATGCTCGCCTGGTGTTTTGTGAACACTTTGTTCTGGGTTTGTATCCTGACCGGGGAGGATTTACTGGGCGCAAATCCTTAACTGTAGCTTCTGTTTATCCAACAGTAAAATAGTTACCTGGTTGTTAAATGATTTGGCGGGTCGTATTCCGGGAAACATAGGATTAAGGACCTGCCCGAAACGCTATGCATGCTAGTGGCTATACAAGAATGTAAGAACTCTTGTATATACATATAAATAAGTAAATAAATAAATAAATAAATAAATGATAAAAGGGCAGCCAGCACCCTGAATAAATATTGCAATGACAAACTAGAGCAGTGACAAACTAAAAAGATTCAAAAGCCCTGGAGTGGACAGAATTTGGTCTAATGTCAGTGAGGAATTGGCAGATAAACTGTTTCATCCACTGAAGCTCCTTTCAGAAAATCCCTGGACCAAGGAATAGTTCCTCTAGATTGGAAATGTGCAAATATAACCCCCCCCCCTTCTTTTCATAAAAGGTAGAGAGAGCGCGGTAAAAAACTACTGTCCGATTAGCTTGACCTTGCGTATTTGTAAGCTCACTGGGAGAATCCTAAGGGAGGAAATTACCAGTCTCCGTGGTGCAGTGGTAATACACTCGCCTGGCATTCCGCGAGCGCTTTGTCATGGGTTCGTATCCTGGCTGGGGAGGATTTACTGGGCGCAAATCCTTAACTGTAGCCTCTGTTTAACTCAACAGTAAAATGTGTGCTTGTTGTAAAAACGATTCTTCACGGCGGGGATCGTATTCCAGGGACCTGCCCGAAACGCTACTCGTACTAGTGGCAGTAGAAGAATGTAACAACTCTTGTATATATCTCAAAAAAAAAATCTTTCACCATTTTGCCGTAAACAATCTTAGTAAACTCAATGCAACATGGGTTTTGTTAAAAATAAATCCTGCCTTAAGCCTGCTCACATTTTGGGAAACTGTAACCAGCTATTCAGACAAAGGACTTTCTGTAGATGATGTATACATGAACTTCACTAAAGCTTTTGATAAGGTTACACATGATATACTGGGATGGAAATTATAAGCACATAGAATAAAAGAAAAAATGGATAAAACAATGGCTAAAACAAAGAATGCCAAGGGTCAACGGAAATGGAAACCGATTGCAGAAATGTGGTGAGTGGAGTACCACAGGGTGCCATTTTGGGGCCAACCCTTTTTGTCATATTCATCAATGACATAGATGAGAATACAATATTACAAACCATGTACAATTTGCAGACAACACTTAAGATTTATGGTAAAGTAGGAGGTGTAAATGATATTGAGGCCTTGCTTAGAGATCTACATGAACTCCACAAATGACTGGCAAATGCTTTTTAATATCGAAAAATGCAAGACCTTGCATATGGGGGCTGGGGGCATAACAATGTGCATCACAGCTACAAAACATCATTTTTTTTTGTTTGAGATATATACAAGAGTTGTTACATTCTTCTACTGCCACTAGTACGAGTAGCGTTTCGGGCAGGTCCCTGGAATATGATCCCCGCCACGAAGAATCGTTGTTACAACCAAGTACACATTTTACTGTTGAGTTAAACAAGAGGCTACAGTTAAGGATTTGCGCCCAGTAAATCCTCCCCGGCCAGGATACGAACCCATGACAAAGCGCTCGCGGAACGCCAGGCGAGTGTCTTACCACTACACCACGGAGACTGATAAATCATTACCTTGCAGCAGATTGATGAAGAAATGGTCCTATGAGTCAGAATCCACCAATCACTGAAAGTTGTTCAACAAGTAGGTGCTGCAGTAAAAAAAACAAAAACAATCAAACCCTAGAAATTATCAAGCAAACTTCTGACTTTAAAGGAAAGAAAGTAGTTATTCAGTTGTATAAATCTCTGATGTTCCCCCACTTGAATTATTGTATCCAAGCTTGGAGACCTCATCTTCATATAGACATATCTGCTTTGGAGAAAGTTCAACACCAGATGACAAAAATCATCCTAGAACTAAGTCAACTCTCATACCAGGAACAGTTGAGGGCTTGGGGCTAACAACTCTCCAAACTAGACATGACAGGGCTGATCTCATTGAAACTTAAAATACTGTACAATCTGGAGAATATTTACCCAAACCACTTCTTTGAAAGGTCAAATGTAACACAAACTAGGAGCAACAATTTAAAGCTCGACAAGCCACAATGTAGGACAGAAAACAGGAGATACTTTTTAACCCATAGTGTTATAAACCCAGGAACTGCATACCTGCCAAAGCCATAAATGCCACAACTACTGAAATTTTAAATCCAACTCGGTAAAATCATCAGGACAAATTGGGGGGTACCTTTGACAAACCGCTGGCTTCCTGTGCTTGTCAAGGCCACTAAAGATATAGTGGCCCTCAGGTAAATTCAGGTATATGGAAGGGAATTATCTGGGGAAAGCACCAAGCCATTAACACTGTACAGTATAGCACTTGGAAGGGGTCAGGATAAGGATTTAGGATGGGGCGGGGTAAAGGATTGTTGCCCAGTCACTTGGATGGTCGAGGATTGAACACCAACCTGCATGAAGCTAGACCGGCACTCTACCGTCAAGCCCAAGTGGTTGGGTTGGGCTCCCGTCCAGCCCAATTCGGGTATAGACGTGGCTTGTTGTCTAGAGTATCAAAAACATTTGGCCTTTTGAGACTAATCATTACTGTAATCATGAAGCGACATGTACTTGTACAACAATGTTGGAAAAGCAAAATCTGTTATGATTAATGAGTCGCATAGTCCAGCCATTGGATAAAATTACGTACGTTGATAGGATAACTTTCATGGAAACACAATTCTGCAAACAACTGCATCTAACAGCCAGGTTGATGTTATCACCAGCCAGGAGGCCTGGTCAGAGCTAAAGGGACATAGATCCTCTTGAACAACCTCAAGGTAACCTCAAGGTAACCTCAAGATAGGTCACTACTTGTTGCATCCAGCAAGGGCATTAGAACCATAGCTTATGCAGTAAATGAAAGTACCCAGTTTTCTAATAATTTCCATTATTAAAAACTTGAACATTGTTTCGATTTGAATTAACTGCGTTTATAGTAGGCACCCGTTTAGCTCACTACGTAACTATCAGATGTGCAGATAATAAAAAAAAGTAGTCAGGTTAGATAACAAAGCATGTTATTGAGTGGTCGAAATAAAGTTATCAAGTGGCTTTGATTTTCGCAATGTTCCAGCAGAAGAAAGACTAACAGATCAGTTATTCTAAGGGTTAACATTAAAACAACTAAAAATAAAATATGAATTGTGATTCAAGTTTTTGAAATGGCTAATGAGCCATCAGCTGAGGCCGACACAAAAATTAAAAGACATTGTAATACAATCAGTCCATGTCAATTGACAGTTTCTGGTAGCATAGTACATGTAGTACATAGTACATGTAGTAGTACACTTGCCCCAGCATCTTGAGTGACTCTGGGTTTGAGCTCTGGCCAGGCAGGATTGACAGCGCATCAATCTTCAGTTGAACAAATCCACAAGAGCCGTGACGAGGATTCGAACCTGCGTCCGGGAGCATCCCAGACACTGCCTTAATCGTTCATTTGTTCATTTGATGCATCACGTTAGTGTGATCTCTGTGTGTGAATCTTCAGTTCTTCATTCACCCCCTGCTCACCCAGTTGTAATTGGGGATCTGGTTGAAAACCAGTTGGTGGTTCGTATTTTTGGGTATACTAGTAGGGCGAGGTTTACCATGAGATATATGGGAAGAGAAAACTCTAAACCTGCTGACAGGTGTCAGAAGTCGTCTACCTTTGTACCTGTGCTAAAAATATGAAAAATGGGGGGAAAAATATAATATAATATCTGGAATCAACAATAAGTGCACAAGTTCCTCTTTCTTAGTTAAATGAATTTTGGGGCTCATTCTCCGAGCTCATTATGTACCTCTAAACTTTCCCACTACTGCCCACAGGTTGGGTATGGGGGGCAAAATATATTTCAATATATTAATGAACCAAACTGACATCAAATTATTAAGTGTAAACACTCTAATTGTAAAGATTCTAATGAAAGTGGGAATTTTTAAAGATTCAACAGAAAACAAGAATAGAGCACTAATTCCCAACTCCCTTGCTTCATTTGGTTAAATGCGCTCAAGCCCAAAAGAAAATGATTCAAGTCTTAAGTCTCGGGATAAATAATCATAATTTCTTTGTTGGGGGACATGAAGCTGTACTGTACTTGTGCTGATCGTGATCCACCCATGTCGACTTCTGACCTTCCTCAGGAGTATTAATAGTCAATTTTATTTCACTGGTTTCAGATTCAGAAGCATTATTTGTAACACAGAAATCATTGCAATTCTAGCTGGACTGTACTGTAAATAATATTAATAATTCCCATTGTCAGAAACAGGAAGCCTGTACTTATTATTAGGCTTTTATTTGGGTACCCCTATTGGAAGACTACTGATGTCCCTTCACAATGCAACCCACAACAATGGCATAATTCCTGAGTACCTATTTTATTGCTAGGTGCATAGAGGCATCAGGTGAATAGAAACTTGCCCATCTGTTTCTGTCTTTCCCAGGGATTGAACCCAGGTACTGTACCTTGGTTTCGAGCTGAGGACATCACCCTGCCACAGGACCCTTTGTATACGTATGCATGCAGAAAAATACTGTAAAAGCATAAGAGACTAGGAATATCTCCTGCAAATGCCTGAAGATCAGCTAAACCTATGTACAGTATTTTATTCACTTTACGGAACCTTTACAGTGGTGGAGAAGATATCGTGGTGCCCCAGATGGAGGATGACGAGTCAATCACAGATATTGGGGAATTGGAGGGAAGCCAACCTACAACTCCACGTCCCGCTTCAACGGGCTCTCAACAGACTCCCACTCAAGGTAATGTACATACTTCAATAGTGGAACTCAATCCCTGGCACGGCCTTGGCAGGACAAAGTGACATTTGCATGCCGTTCCAGGTCATTGAGGGCTACTGATCACATGGTTCTATATGACTATAACCATCCTGTGTGATGGGTTTTTTAGCATCACATTTTTGACACACTTTGTACTCATAGTTAAGGATAGCTGCATAAATGCAGATGTACTTAATTATGTTAATACTGTACAAAAAAAATCGATTTGGTGATTACCTGAGCTAGCTCAGACTGGGAACCATAGAGGGGACCCACTTGAAAGAGATGTTTCATTACATTTAACACTGCCAGCCACTTTGACTGGACGGTAGAGCGATGGTCTCGCTTCATGCAAGTCGGCGTTCAATCCCCAACCATCCAAGTGGTTGGGCACCATTCCTTTCCCCTCATCCCATTCCAAATCCTTATCCTGATCCCTTCCAAGTGCTATATAGTCGTAATGGCTTGGTGCTTTACCCTGATTATTTCCTACAAAAGAACAAATACTATATTTGGAACAATTTATTTTTGGCACACCATGAGAATGTCATTATAAAAAGTGCACAGTACAAGGGTTAAGGCACAAAATGAGCGAGCTTATAGGTTTCGGATGTATTTTTTGCGGTATACAAGATAATTTACAGTATTATTGTAGAAAAACTACATTTGACAAACTACCATGGGGTAATTAGGTTCCTTAAATACTGTGCTGTACTGTCTGCAAATTGTCAAGAAAAAACGTTTTGCATGTTACCAATAAAATGTGTGTACTGTAAAAGGGTGCAACAAATAACCTGGCCATTTCTTGTATATTTTCTATTTGCATTTCTACTGTGTACACAACAGGTACGCTGCGGTCTCCGCGGGCACGTCGACAACGTACTACCTCTCAATCACAGCCGTTGCGTACTCGAGAGCCAATCTTGCGTGGTCGGCGTCGGACCATATACACAGCAGGCAGACCTCCGTGGTACGATTGTCAGGGACAACTGGTTGAGCCATTTGTTATAGGTGAGTTACATTGTCACTGAGTTTATATTTTTCAGTAATATATGAATATACAGTAACTAAGCCATGTTTATTTTACAACAAAACAAATCAAATTCCTTTGTATGTGGGGAAATAGAAAAGGATTTCAGTTAATTATTTGAGCAAATAAAGTTAAATTTCCTTTTTATTTTGCCATTGTAACACAGTGGTCTACATTCTCAACTCAATTCACAAACAGTGCAGAAATGGTTGGGCACATTTTTCCTTGCATCAAATGCCTCTGTTTCCCGAGCAGTAAATAGGTACCCGGGAGTTAGGCAACTGTTGTGGGTAGCATCCTGGGGAACATCAGTAGTTGGCCTAGGGGTACTGTACAGGCTTCTTGTCCCCGGCAGTGGGAATTAAGTACTGTACTGTAATACAATACAGTAAAATCACAGCATCGTCGGAGTGGATAGAGTTGGGGACAATAGAACAAGAGGGCCCAGTTGGAAGCTGGAAGTAGAGATATGTTGGATAAATTTTAGAACCATTTTAGCACATTATTTAAGAGGGCTTTAATGATTTCTCTTGTCAGGTACAAGAAATTATTACAGTTCAGTGCAGTACAACCTTGATTCAACACACTACTGTATATGGGACCCAATTTGTTGCAATGAGAGATTTGTTGTAACTAAGAGATGCCTCCAGGATGCATTTCCCATGCCCTATGAGCTAATTTCATTTACCCAAATTTTCATTTCAATCTAATAATATAATAGACCACTACCAAATGAACATGTCTGCAAAAAAAAATATCAACCACATCCAGCTTATTTCTCATGTTCCCAGCCTCAAAACACATTTTCAAAAAGTAGCATAGCCATACCTGAGTGAAGGAAAAACCTTGCCAACTCAAAACGAATACAAAACCGTAGAATTTGGTTTTGAGTATCCTTAATAGCTTTCCCAAGGCTCCAACTATTTCATGTAATGTTGAGACCCTAAATTGAAATCATCAGCATGATTGGAACCATATTAAATGTTACCATGCATGCTTTGGTATTTCCCGCACACATGGGTTGATTGCACTAAGCGAAATTTTAATTTCAATCTGTCATATGAAGGATAAATACCAATGGAACCTGTCTATAAGAAGATTTAACTACATTTTTCAAATGTTTTACTGAACTTGTGGCTTTATTGAACAAATAATTCCATTATGATACATCTTGCAATACAAACATGTCATATAATATGCAATAATAAATACAGTTTATGCACTTCCTCTTCCTTATAACAATAGGCAAATTGCATATTCAATCACGGTCAAATTAAACAGTAAAATAAGGAAAATCAGCACACCAACTTGTATTTATGAGTCATAGCTGATTTGCCAGAGATCACTTCATATTGAGGATGTAAACAGTAAACCAGTCAAATGAGAGTGTAAATAAAAGGTATTACTAATGCAATAGCTAGGTACAGTAGATACAAAATTTGACTGCTAGCCTGTGCTCGTCACACCAGCTTGTACTCGTGATTTTTTTTTTTTTTTTGTAAGATCTTCTAATAATGTAGATAAATAGCACTATGTTGTGATTTCGGTGCATATTATCTGACGCTCTTTCTTTGAGGTGTGTGCGGTGGGAGTGCCTCGGGGAAGACCACAGTCGCCAGGAAAATTATTGAAGAGTTGGACGTGCCTTGGGTTACCCTTCTTTCTCTCGACTCGTTTTATAAGGTAGGTAATGGGATTTTTTCCCAATCTTGAAGGTACTAAATATATTAAAAGTGCATTTCAGGAATATTTGTTTCAGTAGTGAATTTTTTTGAGGGTAAGGGGGTTTTACCATATTCAAGTTTTTGTAATTTCAAGTAGTCCACAAAAGGCGACATGAGATTCTAATGTTCATTTATTCTTTCATATTTACAAAATGACACATGGTAAAGATTTTAGGGAAGATGGGATATCACAAGTGGGGATTTCATCTTGTAACTACGGTTAGGTGAGCAGACGACGGGTCACAATAACATGGCCGAAGGTATGATGATCAAACCACACGTCAGAAAGTGAAGAAACAACGATGTTTCTGTCATTTCTGGCCCATTATAAAGCTGTGTGAAAGAAGAGAGGAAGCTACAGGCAGATGTAATGTAAGAGAGTGAGGTGAAGTATAGGGACTCATAATCATCCGGTAGATTGGTCTTCTTATAAAATAATCTCTCCTGTCTCTATTCTTACCTTATTCTGTATGTCACTTGAACAAGTGTTTACTGAACAGTTACAATATTTAATTGATTTAGAGAACAACTCTATACTCTTACACACAGAAATCACAATAACGTGATTTCTAAATGAACAAATCAAATGAACAAATCCACAAGGGCCATGACGAGGATTAGAACCTGCGTCCGAAGGCAGCGTCTGGGATGCTCTTGGACGCAGGTTCGAATCCTCATCACGGCCCTTGTGGATTTGTTAACTCTATTCTCTTCTTCAATTTTATTTTCTGCTTAAATTTAGATTACGTGTTTGGATTTTGGGCTATTTATAAATAATGTTGTCTAATGTACCATATTTGCCAGGAGATAGGATACTTTTTTTGTCTGCCACAAATCAAATATATATATTATGTATTTTTACATGTACAAAATCACATGTTTTTCCTTACACAACAACTTGAAAATTACTCTTAGTAAATGCATGACAAAACATACTAAGTAAAAGGACAACAAAATATTCTTGTGAAATAAATGTCTTGTATGCCATAAATGCTAGTAAAGTAAATTCCAGTAAATGCATTCATTGGACAGTATTGCTACAGTTATTGTTTAAAGGAAAATTTATCATAATAAATCAAGCCCAACCCCTTCGCATGAAATGAAGTGAAAGTGATGACGTTCTGACGCATCCTGAACACTCATCAATTCAAAGTCACTCATCATGACTTCAATTTAATTTCATTTGTATGGGTTGAACCATTTGTTTCAGCCACATTATCGTGGCTTATTCTTTCTCTCTCTATCATAAGACAGTTCATTAATCACATTCTTTTCTAATTGCCAAAGGTGTTAACAGAGAAGCAACATGAAGAAGCAGCAAGAAATGAATACAACTTTGATCATCCTGATGCCTTTGATTTTGAATTAGTTGCAAAGACGCTGGTTAGACTAAAGGAAGGTAAAAAAGTCGAGGTCCCAATATACAACTTTGTCACACATTCCCGTGAAATCAAAACTGTGAGTAATTTTTATTATTAATTTTATCATAATATCCACTGTCTTTCTTTCCATTTGACTTGGATGTTGTAATTAATGTGGAATATAACAGTAAAAAAAAAAAAGAGGGATTGCACAATGAAAACATAAGAACATGATATAGCTATGAGGAAATATTTGAGCCGTATGATGGGATCGAACCTGCTCCCTCGAACACCTCAGGCACAAGCAGGGATGTGGACTCGGTTTAGGTCTTTCGGCTCAATTTGTTTTTCTCGGCAAGAAGGATTTTATGGATATGGAAAGCGCACTTCACCCTCTGTGATTGTGAATGACTTAAAAGTACAAAAGGCAGAATTTTTTTTAAGTGCACTTGCCTACACCGAGGCATACATACTACACTGAGGAGCCGGTCGGCCGAGCGGACAGCACGCTGGGCTTGTGATCCTGTGGTCCTGGGTTCGATCCCAGGCGCCGGCGAGAAACAATGGGCAGAGTTTCTTTCACCCTATGCCCCCTGTTACCTAGCAGTAAAATAGGTACCTGGGAGTTAGTCAGCTGTCACGGGCTGCTTCCTGGGGGTGGAGGCCTGGTCGAGGACCGGGCCGCGGGGACACTAAAGCCCCGAAATCATCTCAAGATATCCTCAAGATAACACCATATGCCTGGGGAGTCCTGTACCCCTTCTTATTCCTCCATAAATAAAAAGTCAGCATGATAAAAGGTAGATAACTATTAGGGGAAAGTGCAAAGTCATTATGACTATATAGCACTGGGAAGGGATCAGGATAAGGATTTGGGATGAGATGGAGGAAAGGAATCGTGCCCAACTACTTGGACGGTTGGGGATTGAACTCCGACCTGCATAAAATGAGACTGTGGCTCTACTGTCCAGCCCAAGTGGTTGAACTCGGCATGTTAAAATCAAATTGTGCACAAGACAGTTCACCAACTGATATTAAAAACTACCTAACCTTAGTTCTTACTCTAACCTAACCCAACCCAACCCATCCATCCCTATCTATGCCTAACCTAATGATATAAGTGGTGTTTATAATCAGAAAATAGGCTTTGTTGTACCAACTTGTGTATGATTTTATCATATCCTTGCAGCATTGTTTACTAATATGGAATGAATGGATGATGATAGTGGTGAGGATTTGTATACAGATATTTGAGGACTTGTTAATTGCAGTATACATTTAAGATTTAGGAAGTGTTGGCCTCTGTCCAGAGCCTTGGGAGGCCGCTCCCTCCCCCCATCCGTCCAGAGCCTTGAGTCTGCTCCCCCCCCCCCCCCCCTCCCCCACCATCAAGAGCCTGGTGTGGCCTTCCGTCCAGAGCCTGGCATGCCTCCTATTCAGTCTGGTGTGGCCACCTGTTCCGAGTCTGGCGTGGGCCCCTGTTCAGAGCCCAGCGTGAACCCCGTTCAGAGCCCGGCATGAACCCCATTCAGAGCCCGGCGTGACACCTGTCCAGCGCTTGGTGTGACTCCCTGTCCAGAGCCCGGCATGGACTTTGTCACTCTTGAAGTGTGATGCAATGACTTCGCCTATTATTTTCATCTTTTTTTTTTTTTAAGCGAATTAAAATTAAATGCATGTAACTAATTTTGTTTAATTTCATTTCATTGAATTTCTCGTCAGTATATATATTTTTTTTTATACAGAAAACTATGTATGGTGCCAATGTCATTATATTCGAGGGGATTATAGCTTTCTACTCACCTGATGTTTTAAAGGTATGTCTGCCAGTTTGTTCATTATAATAATTTGTGAAAATATTGGAATAGAAGTAATTTCTCTGATTGCTTGATCTTTCTGTCATGAAGTTTAAATTATGGATGAAATGATTTAATTTAGATAACCAGTGTAATGTTTTCTGTAATTACTGCAAGAGTTCAGTAATTCAGATTCCGGTAACTCAGTTTTCCTAGCAATCTGAATTAATTCACATTCACGTTTTTTTTAACTTTTAACCAGTATAGGAATTTGGATTACCAAGATTTCTACTGAATGAAAACCTGAGTAAATTTGAATTTTTTCGTCTTTGAATATTCCCGATAAAACATTTGGCTAACTTCAGTTTCAACTTGAAAAGGAGGCAGGTCCCACATAATTTGGATAATTGAGCATAGACAGTATTGTAATCTGTACAGTACAGAAATAAGTTATTATTCCAGTTGTAGACTGTAAGGTCCTTTCCCCCCTAGGCCAGATACTGACCTTTCCCAGGATACAAATCACAATAATTGCATAACACTCGGATGCATATTTTACTGCTACGTGATCAGAGGCATCAGGTAACAGGATATGAGCCCAACCATTTCTGTCATGCCTGGAAATTGAACCCAGGTTCCATTTCATAGTCCTGGACGAGCTATTGGAGAATGGTCCTGCTTTGACGGAATCCACGACAATAGTTGGCAAGCTCGGCATTGTAAGCATTGGAAGACTCCAGTGCCATGCCAAAAAAGTCAAACAGAAATACGTAACTTAATTATCAGGCGAAAGCGCTAAGTCACGTGTATTTATGGTTACTCGACTCGATGAAATAATTCTAGAATAGATGAAAATCAATATTAAATGAAGATAGTTTACCATTGCAGCTTTGTCATTTACAACATCGGTGATAAGCGAGGCTACATAATTCACCTTGACTGGAAGTCTGTGCTTAGGCTTATTGAGATTCCCCCCCCCCCCTTCCCTAGGCAATAGCTACTGGCCATTCTCTAGAATGCCACCCACAACAATCGCCTAACCAACTGCTAGGTGAACAGAGGTATCAGGTGATAGGAAACTTTCCCAGGCATTTCTTTCCTGCACGGGGATTGAACCTAGTAGTCATATGCAGACAATGAGTCACAATAACGTGGCTGAAGTATGTTGACCATACCTTACACTAGAAAGTGAAGGGATGATGATGTTTCGGTCCATCCTGTACCATTCTCTTGAGTAGTTTACCCAGAGAATTACCCGTTTTGGTCCGTCCTGGCAATCGACTTGAGAATGGTCCAGGACGGACTGAAACGTCGTCGTCCCTTCACTTTCTAGTGTGTGGTCTGGTCTAGGAGTCTCAGTTGTAAGCTCAGGGCATAGACCACCGAGCTACTGACTGACTTGTTCATTATTCATTGGTGAACATCACCTCTTGAGATTTTAAACTTTCCCTCAAGCCTCACAATGTTATTTGGTGGTAATGCATCCCTGCATCCACATTGTATAAAATGCAGTCTATTTACGTGGGTGTGAATAACAGTTTAGATGACATGGATGAAGTGGTGGATTACAGCCAAATAACGTAGTGGGATTTTAGGGAAGATGTATAATCTTGGATTCATTGGGAGCTAGCTGCATTTTGAGAGCCTTCCGTATTGTATGCATTTTGGCCTGGTTGGTAGGCCTCATATTTTATAGGTTTCAGTTCAAATCCTTGATCAAAATTAAATAAATCTTTTATTTTCCTTTGATGAGGCCACCAGAGATGGTGGCCCTTGGGTAAATTCAGATAAATATACAGCTTTTATAATTAAATTACTTGATAATTAATTTTTCTTTTCTTTTCTAGTTATTAGATATGAAAGTATTTGTAGACACTGACTCGGATGAGAGATTAGTGAGACGGCTACAGAGAGACATTGGTGAAAGAGCGAGAGAACTGGATGGTGTTCTTAAACAGTACTTCAAATTCGTCAAACCAGCATTTGATTACTATATCGCTCCGTCTATGGTAAGCTTACACTTGGAGAGGATGCTTGGGAGTGCTTGTGAACACTATTAACCCAAGATATATTGGTCCAGGACAGTTACAGTATTTGCTAGCAGATAGGACTTGCTTTTGGTCTCATAACCAACTGAATATATATTATATTTACATATTTTCCCCCCACAAAACCACATGAACATATCTTTGAATGAGTGTATGAGGAAACATGCTTAATTAGTTTCCTCAAAATATCCTTGTAAATTAGGTGTGTCTTATATACTGGAAAATAAAGTACTGCATCTGCTAAAGAAGACAGGAATAACTTTTCTATTATTTCAAGTTCTATATGAAGAGAGAAAATGAAGATAGCAAAAGAGAAGACTTTTATTCCATATTTTACTCATAATCTGGGTAAACTACCAACTGGAAAAAATTTGTTCTTCCGAGTGCTTGATTACTATTCGTTAAAGGTCTTGCAGATTTGGGGTGGAGGAATGGATGGATGGTGAGCTGTGTCATCTATGGGAACATATAGACATGTTCTTAATAACTTACCAGGGCAGGGGAAATTGATTGTGTTTGAGTTTCTAAAGCTGCCGAGCAGCTGACAGATGGTTGGATTGGCATGTGGGCAGTTGGATGGCCACTAGCTGTCTTGAGCTAATGTGACGTCCTGAGGAAAGCATTGCATAATGGTTTTGTTGAAGATGTGTATCTTTTGAGCAGGTGGGCTGCCCTCCCACCAGACTTTCCAGTTGTCAGGGACTGGAAGCCTGAACTTAGACTAATCTAGGTACCCCTAAGTCAACTACCAACCTTCCCCAGGATGCAACCCCACAATAGGTGCCTAACTTCCAAGTACCTGCTTACCTGCTTGATACCTACTTGATGGGGTTCTGGGAGTTCTTCTACTCCCCAAGCCCGGCCCGAGGCCAGACTTGACTTGTGAGAGTTTGGTCCACCAGGCTGTTACTTGGAGCAGCCCTCCGGCCCACATATCCATCACAGCCTGGTTGGTCCGGCACTCCTTGAAGAAAACTATCCAGTTTCCTCTTGAAGATGTCCACGGTTCTTCCGGCAATATTTCTGATGCTCGCTGGTAGGATGTTGAATAACCGTGGGCCTCTGATGTTCATACAGTGTTCTCTGATTGTGCCCATGGCACCTCTGCTCTTCACTGGTTCTATTCTGCATTTTCTTCCATGTCGTTCACTCCAGTACGTTGTTATTTTACTGTGCAGATTTGGGACCTGTCCCTCCAGTATTTTCCATGTGTATATTATTTGGTATCTCTCTCGTCTCATTTCTAGTGAGTACATTTGGAGAGCTTTGAGACAATCCCAATAATTTAGGTGGTTTAGGGATTGTCTTAAAGCTCTGCAAATGTACTCACTAGAAAGGAGACGAGAGAGATACCAAATAATATACATATGGAAAATACTGTACTGGAGAGACAGGTCCCAAATCTGCTCAGTAAAATAACAATGTACTGGAGTGAACGACATGGAAGAAAATGCAGAATAGAACCAGTGAAGAGCAGAGGTGCCATGGGCACAATCAGAGAACACTGTATGAACATCAGAGGTCCACGGTGAGTACGTATTTACTATTGATAGGTGAATAGAGGTATCATGTGAAAGGAAATGTGCTTAACTGTTTCTGTCCAGTATGAGAAATTGGCCCCAGGTCCTTCGATTGCGAGTCAAGGACATACAGTAGACGACTAGGTAGCTTGAAATACAACTTGCTTGCCAACCAGCTAACAAGGAAGACACCCAACTTCCAGCCAGTGATTTGTGGTGCTCCATGAGGTTAGCCAGACTAGGGAAGAACACGTGTTTACAATAACAGGAGGTATGTTGTCATATTACATGCCAGAACAAAAACCTGGCCAAGGATTCGTTGAGTATTTGTCTACTTCCGAGACATGTAAAGTCTTACGTCACTCGTGGCTGCTTAGTCTGTATTTATTAATCAGTTTTTGAGCTTTGAAACCTTGTGAGATCATGAACAAATCCACAAGGGCCGTGATGAGGATTCGAACCTACGTCCGAGAGGATCCCAGATGCTGCCTTAATCAACTAAGCTACGACATGGTAAAAGAATTGCAACCGGGAAATCATCTTGATTTACCAACGATTTCCCGGTTGCAATTCTTTTACCATGTCGTAGCTCAGTCGATTAAGGCAGTGTCTGGGGTATTTCGGACGTAGGTTCGAATCCTCGTCACGGCCCTCGTGGATTTGTTCATTTGATGCATGCTATTGTGATTTCTGTGTAGTGTGTAGTGAGATCATTCTTGACCCAATGTTGTTACAGTACCTTTTTAGACAACCTCATAGCTCATAATATGTTTAAATAAAAGCAAACTAAGCCACCATGATTGATAAAAGATGTGCAGGTGTCATAAGTGGAAACATAAAAGAATGATTAACCCTGGCCCAGAATCAATACATGTAACCACCCCCAACAGAAAGAGTGCTTGTCCGTGTAGTCAGTAGAGGATTAAAGTGGAAAGTATCCCATTGAGAGTAGTGTGTTGACAACAATGTTACTAGAAGTAGAGTCTGTGGAAGTGTAAATTTTTGGAGAGATGTACAATACTGATTACACAGGAAAGGGATCATGCAGTCATGAAAGGGAATATACCTAGTAGTGCTTATCTATCAGTGACTACAGGGGAGTGAGATCTGGCTCTTTATGCGCTGCCTCCTAGCTGTTTATACCTGTCATGTTAATTGCCACTTTCAGCGTTAATGTTTCATTATATTATTTTCATATAGATGTGGATGAGCTGGTTAGAGAAGTATGTGTTGATAAGGTTGTCCAAATGCTCTTAAGCCACTCCGGGAAGATTTCAAGAGTGAATGAGGTATCAGAAATAGGTGGATTGATTAAGAGTGGAGATGAATGTGAATGTATTGTTAATACTTTTTTCCACAGTAAATCCACATTTCTGAAATTAATTGTAGTTGTTCATAAAGCTTGCCTGTTGACCATAGGCATTCTTGTGATAATTGTACAGAAATTTAACAAAAAAAAGTAGAAATCGGTTTTTAGATATTTTCACATAAATTATTGCACTTTGTAGTAATAAAAACTAGCTAATAGAGGATTCAGCCTGTACATCACCTGTAAACTTCATATTAATGAGTTAAAAGATTTTCATGGTTTTTCGTACTCAGTTATTGAACTTTTTGATACAAATTTAAGTCTGTAAAGCATACATATTGTATAAAAATGTTGTTTAATGGTTGTTCATAAAATATTTATATTTTAGGTTCATGCAGACATTATAGTTCCAAGAGGTGGAGAAAACGAAGTTGCCATCAACCTTATTGCTCAGAATGTTATGACACAGCTACAACAGGTGAGTACATTACGGTCTATGGAAATATGGCCTGGATATCTTTCCCTCATAGGACTTTTAATGAGCTGAGCTGTTTAAGGGCTAAAGGAGCTCGGTAACCCGAATTCCAATAACCGAAATGAATTCGCATTCATCGTTTTTTTAGTAAAAAGAGGGTGTAACTAGTTTGTGGTCCAAAATGTTTTTAAATACAGTATGCAAATTTTTGGACACTTCTGGTAGGAAGTTCAGCTAACTCAAGTTGGGGTGGGCCCCATGTGATTCAGGTTACCAAGTCTTGACAATGTAGTATTATGTTTATAATATACAGAAGGTCATTAATGTTCACAGGAATTCAAATTAAATACAGTAACTATAAACCTTTTGTAATGTTAGTTAACAATATAATCCACTCTCAGGTTACCATGTAGCCAGTCATGTCATATTCTGAGATCATTAGCAGGTAGTCTAATGCTGGGTTATACTCTAGATCAGTGGTTCCCAACTGGTGGGTCGAAAAATGTTTTCAGGTGGGCCGTGGAACCTAAATTCTGAGTACTGGTATATCTGTATCATAGAGATTAGCAAATGGTGAGTATCATGATTAGGCAACCTACAGGAATTGATAATCATTAGGCCCATGAAGCACCAGCATTGTAGTGATTTTAATTCCCTAAACCATCATATTTTTTATGATGAAGTCAGTAGTGTAACAAAAAAAAATCAGTGAGGTTATCTTGAGATGATTTCGGGGCTTAGCGTCCCAGCTGCCCAGTCCTCGACCAGGCCTCCTTTTTTGTTACACATCCCCAGGAAGCAGCCCGTATCAGCTGTCTAACTCCCAGGTACCTATTTACTGCTAGGTAACATGGGCATCAGGGTGAAAGAAACATTTTGCCCATTTGTCTTCGCCTTTACCGGGGATCGAACCCGGAACCTCAGGACTACGAATCCGAAGCGCTGTCCACCCAGCTGTCAGGCGCCCCAGGACAGGCGGAGCGACTAGTTACTTACACTGCTTACTGACTGTGATACAAGGGAACACAAAGCTCAAGTACAGTAATTTTAACGTTGTATTAAGTTAGGTAAATGATCAATATTGATGACTTTCGTGAAGCAAGTTGACAAATGTCAACAAGGTAAGTTGAAATCTCTGTTTTTGACCATGGCATATTTTAGTACTGTATGTATTGTACATGAAGAGCCTTCCCTGACCATGTAAATTTATGTTTATTGTGGGTGGAAAAAAATTATGTTGGTTGTGGTACAATTATGAATGTTAATTTTTAAAATTTCCCAATACAAATTCCTGCTAATTTAGATGTCCGGTTGACTCGTAAGGGGTAGGACCCATATGATCTAGAGTAGCAATTGTAGATGGGGTAGGTGTGTGTGTGTGTGTTGGAGAACGTGCATCAACAATACTGGAGGCAATTTCTGGAAAGGATAAAGGATGCTTCTTTGTTGTGAATGCTCCCCATGCTGGGAACTTTACATTGGCTGTCCCAAATTCTGCCTTGGAAACCTACCTGGATCATCGGGCGCCTAAGTACAGTATTTATGTAGCTCTTGTGTCTCGCCTCCCCTATCTTCACTGAATACCGGGTGTACCTGCCTGCTGTATCCTGGGGATGAACTCTATCTCTGCAGAGCTGGATGAGGGTTTCGAAGTGATTGCTGTACAGTATATGTGTTTTGAAAACTGTAACTTAATGTAATAAAATAAATTAAATAAATCATATTGCATAAAATAAAAATGTATAGGTGGTAGGAGAAGGAAATACTCAAATGTTCGAGGAGAAATTACAAGGACTTCTCTGAATACAGTACCTTTTATTCTCTTCTCCAAGGCTATGGATCCCCACAATTGCACCAGAGGTGGTACCAAACATATAATATCACTTTCTCTGTCTCTCTTCCTCTCTCTGGGCTTCACCAGAACGTGAGTTTGAGTTATAGGGAGCCAGTTGGCCAAGCGGACAGCACGCTGGACTTGTGATCCTGTGGTCCCGAGTTCGATCCCAGGCGCCGGCGAGAAACAATGGGCAGAGTTTCTTTCACCCTATGCCCCTGTTACCTAGCAGTATAATTGGTACCTGGGTGTTAATCAGCTGTCACGGGCTGCTTCCTGGGGGTGGAGGCCTGGTCAAGGACCGGGCCGCGGGGACACTAAAAGCCCCTAAATCATCTCAAGATAACCTCAAGATACTCCATTGCCTCAAAATGATTTTCATGTATGGTATCTTTTTCACCCCTTCCCCCTCTCCCCTATAACCATTGACCTCTCCCTCCCTCTCTCCCCATCTACCCTCCTCTTCTCTGTATCTCTCTCAATCCTGCAATATTACCGATTGCAAAATAAGAGCACTTGTCACTAATGTCTATAATATTAAAAGGCATTCACACAATATAATAGTTCTCCCTTTAGAATCTTTGCATTGGCCTTCAGTTTTCTATAGAAGGGGAGGAGCAGAATTTAAGTGTTTTATGGGATTATGGCCTTAGTTTGAATAGCAAGGAATTTGTGAATTTTCACAAGATTAATGAATAATGGTGTATATTTTTATAAGGAAAAATCTGTATTGAGGAAAATCTGTACTGTAATTTCATTGGTGTAGCTGCAGGCAGTGCTAAAAATCGTTGTCGGGGTCTGAATGTGACCCTGGCATGCTGCAAAAGATAAGATACACAGAGAAATCACAGTAAAATGCTATATAAATATCGAGAAAATCCACAGGAGCCGTGATGAGGATTCGAACCTATGAATTGTTTAGAACGTGCATCTGGGAATACCCAGAGCATAGGTTTGAATCCTCGCCACAGGTCCTGTGGATTTGCTCAGAGATATATATATATATATATATATATATATATATATATATATATATATATATATATATATATATATATATATATATATATATATATATATATATATATATATATATATATATATATATATATATATATATATATATATAAACACACACACACACACATCACATTGATATCACACCAAACCTGTCTCCTGAAGCCCACATAAAGAGAATAACGTCTGCGGCATATGCGAGGCTGGCTAACATCAGAACGGCGTTCAGGAACCTGTGTAAGGAATCATTCAGAATCTTGTACACCACATATGTAAGACCAATCCTGGAGTATGCGGCCCCAGCATGGAGCCCGTACCTTGTCAAGCACAAGACGAAGCTGGAAAAAGTCCAAAGGTATGCTACTAGACTAGTCCCAGAACTAAGAGGCATGAGTTATGAGGAAAAGCTACGGGAAATGCACCTCACGACACTGGAAGACAGAAGAGTAAGGGGGGACATGATCACAACCTACAAAATCCTCAGGGGAATCGACCGGGTAAACAAGGATGAACTATTCAACACTGGTGGGACGCGAACAAGGGGACACAGGTGGAAGCTGAGTACCCAAATGAGCCACAGAGACGTTAGAAAGAACTTTTTCAGTGTCAGAGTAGTTAGTAAATGGAATGCATTAGGAAGTGATGTGGTGGAGGCTGACTCCATACACAGTTTCAAATGTAGATATGATAGAGCCCAATAGGCTCAGGAATCTGTACACCAGTTGATTGACGGTTGAGAGGCGGGACCAAAGAGCCAGAGCTCAACCCCCGCAAGCACAATTAGGTGAGTACAATTAGGTGAGTATACACACACACACACACACACACACACACACACACACACACACACACACACACACACACACACACACACACACACACACACTCACACTCACACTCACACTCACACTCACACTCACACTCACACACACTCACACTCTCTCACACACTCACACACTCACTCACTCACTCTTCAACCTTATCTAATATTTATACCAATAAGGTTCGTAATATTCTGTTAGAATTATCTGATATCTCAGGATGCGATCCTTGTTGTGTATTATGATGTATCTTGTATCATGATGAACAACCATCGATTACAGCGACTGTACTGGCGCATGCTATCTGTACAGGAATACAACATGTCTACCGTGTTGATTCCAGCCCGAAGGTATGTGCGTAAATACAGTATACACGAATATTTATTTATTTTTATTTATACAAGAAGTTACATGGGGTTTATGAGAGTACATAGCATGATGTGTTCACATTCTTGTAAAGCCACTAGTACGCACAGCGTTTCGGGCAGAATATATATACTACAATATGACACAGTATATCGAAAAATGTATGCGCTGTACCTCAATTGGTGTGTATACACTTGAGAATTTTAGTTTAGTTCATGCTGGAAAGTGGAGGGAGTTTTGACAAGCCACCGGGTTCCTGTCCCCGTCGAGGCCACGAGAGAGAGACCTTAGGTAAATGCTGGTTGGTAAGTCAATAAATTTGATGTTCTAAAACCCAAAATCAAACTGGTAGAGCCATATTGATCGCTGTCGTCAACGGGAAATGTGTTGACGTTTGCAACATTCGGGTATACAGTCACGATAACGTAGATGAAACACAGTAAGTCTAAACCTTCACATACGTGAATGAAAGTGATGACGGATATATAAATATGAGAATAATGAAGGGGGATATATAGGAGGGGTGTAGCAGTCGTTAGTCAGTCAGTGTGCTGCACGTCGAGGCTGTGAACGGGTGTGTGTTAGCAGGGTTGGTGTTCGAATTATGCGCTAATGCAGTTTGATTGGTGTTCGAATTTTGCGCTAGTGCAGTTTGGTTGGTGTTCTAACTATGCGCTAATGCAGTTTCGGGGTGTATGGCGTGTTATTTTCTTGTGTATTGAGTGCCTAAACCAACAAGACCATGCCGTTAAATTTGGTTTTGGTGTTTGACAGCGTTGTAATACAGTTTTGGTGTATGGCGTGTTATTTTGCAGCGTAAAATACATTAGGCGTTTTGGTGCTATATTCGTTTAAGCGTGCTCTACAGTACTGCAGTATAGTGCATTGTCTGTTATTGGAGTGTGTTAAGTATTCCATTGCGTGCTGTTGTTATTAATTACTTAATTATATCCTATTTGTTTCGCGTTAATGAACTTTGAACGATAATAACCTATAGACCTTAGCCTAGTATTACGGAATGAGGATTGTAGACCCTTGGAGACGTGTTTTAATTTATTTGCATCGGTATGTCAATTGGGAAGCTTATTGGAATATAAGATAAAGGTCTTTAGATATTAATTTAATTATTAGATAAAGGTGAAGTGAATATAGAGTTAGTCCCAAATGAAGCTTATTGGAATATATATTAGATAAAGGTCTTTAGATATTAATTTAATTATTAGATAAAGGTGAAGTGAATATAGAGTTAGTCCCAAATGAAGCTTATTGGAATATATATTAGATAAAGGTCTTTAGATATTAATTTAGATAAAGGTGAAGTGGATAGAGAGTTAGGAATATACATTAGTCCCAAATGAAGCTTATTGGAATATATATTAGATAAAGGTCTTTAGATATTAATTTAGATAAAGGGGAAGTGGATATAGAGTTAGGAATATACATTAGTCCCAAATGTAGTTCAGGATTCTTAGTATGTATGTTGGTTAGTAGCACAATGTGAGGCTTGTTGATGCCAGGGTTTGGACCTGTATGGAACAGGTAACGATCGGGTTGGAGTAGGGGATGCCTGTCCTCTGACTACACCCCCCCTCCTTCCCTCCCGACTACGCCCACCCCCCCTCCTTCCCTCCCGACTATACGCCCCCCCCCTCCTTCCCTCCCGACTATACGCCCCCCCCTCCTTCCCTCCCGACTACACGCCCCCCCTCCTTCCCTCCCGACTACACGCCCCCCCTCCTTCCCTCCCGACTACAGGCCCCCCCTCCTTCCCTCCCGACTACAGGCCCCCCCCTCCTTCCCTCCCGACTACAGGCCCCCCTCCTTCCCTCCCGACTACACGCCCCCCCCTCCTTCCCTCCCGACTACACGCCCCCCCCTCCTTCCCTCCCGACTACACGCCCCCCCCTCCTTCCCTCCCGACTACACGCCCCCCCCTCCTTCCCTCCCGACTACACGCCCCCCCTTCCCTCCCGACTACACGCCCCCCCTTCCCTCCCGACTACACGCCCCCCCTTCCCTCCCGACTACACGCCCCCCCTTCCCTCCCGACTACACGCCCCCCCTTCCCTCCCGACTACACGCCCCCCCTTCCCTCCCGACTACACGCCCCCCCTTCCCTCCCGACTACACGCCCCCCTCCTTCCCTCCCGACTACACGCCCCCCTCCTTCCCTCCCGACTACACGCCCCCCCCTCCTTCCCTCCCGACTACACGCCCCCCCTCCTTCCCTCCCGACTATACGCCCCCCCTCCTTCCCTCCCGACTATACGCCCCCCCTCCTTCCCTCCCGACTACACGCCCCCCCTCCTTCCCTCCCGACTACACGCCCCCCCTCCTTCCCTCCCGACTACACGCCCCCCCCTCCTTCCCTCCCGACTACACGCCCCCCCTCCTTCCCTCCCGACTACACGCCCCCCCTCCTTCCCTCCCGACTACACGCCCCGCCCTCCTTCCCTCCCGACTACACGCCCCCCCCTCCTTCCCTCCCGACTACACGCCCCCCCCCTCCTTCCCTCCCGACTACACTCCCCCCCTCCTTCCCTCCCGACTACACGCCCCCCCCTCCTTCCCTCCCGACTACACGCCCCCCCCTCCTTCCCTCCCGACTACACGCCCCCCCCTCCTTCCCTCCCGACTACACGCCCCCCCCCTCCTTCCCTCCCGACTACACGCCCCCCTCCTTCCCTCCCGACTACACGCCCCCCCCCTCCTTCCCTCCCGACTACACGCCCCCCCTTCCCTCCCGATTACACGCCCCCCTCCTTCCCTCCCGACTACACGCCCCCCCCTCCTTCCCTCCCGACTACACGCCCCCCCTCCTTCCCTCCCGACTACACGCCCCCCCCTCCTTCCCTCCCGACTACACGCCCCCCTCCTTCCCTCCCGACTACACGCCCCCCCCCCTCCTTCCCTCCCGACTACACGCCCCCCCCCCCCCCTCCTTCCCTCCCGACTACACGCCCCCCCCTCCTTCCCTCCCGACTACACGCCCCCCCTCCTTCCCTCCCGACTACACGCCCCCCCCTCCTTCCCTCCCGACTACACGCCCCCCTCCTTCCCTCCCGACTACAGGCCCCCCCCCTCCTTCCCTCCCGACTACACGCCCCCCTCCCTCCCGACTACACGCCCCCCTCCCTCCCGACTACACGCCCCCCTCCCTCCCGACTACACGCCCCCCTCCCTCCCGACTACACGCCCCCCTCCCTCCCGACTACACGCCCCCCTCCCTCCCGACTACACGCCCCCCTCCCTCCCGACTACACGCCCCCCTCCCTCCCGACTACACGCCCCCCTCCCTCCCGACTACACGCCCCCCTCCCTCCCGACTACACGCCCCCCTCCCTCCCGACTACACGCCCCCCTCCCTCCCGACTACACGCCCCCCTCCCTCCCGACTACACGGCTCCCTCCCTTCCGACTACACGCGCCCCTCCCTCCCGACTACACGCCCCCTCCCTCCCGACTACACGCCCCCCTCCCTCCCGACTACACGGCCCCCTCCCTTCCGACTACACGCGCCCCTCCCTCCCGACTACACGCGCCCCTCCCTTCCGACTACACGCGCCCCTCCCTCCCGACTACACGCGCCCCTCCCTCCCGACTACACGCCCCCCTCCCTTCCGACTACACGCGCCCCTCCCTTCCGACTACACGCCCCCCTCCCTTCCGACTACACGCCCCCCTCCCTTCCGACTACACGCCCCCCTCCCTTCCGACTACACGCCCCCCTCCCTTCCGACTACACGCCCCCCCCCTCCCGACTACACGCCCCCCCCTCCCGACTACACGGCCCCCCCCTCCCGACTACACGGCCCCCCCTCCCGACTACACGGCCCCCCTCCCGACTACACGGCCCCCCCTCCCGACTACACGGCCCCCCCTCCCGACTACACGGCCCCCCCTCCCGACTACACGCCCCCCCCCTCCCGACCACACGCCCGCCACCCCTCCCGACCACACGCCCGCCACCCCTCCCGACCACACGCCCGCCACCCCTCCCGACTACACGCCCGCCACCCCTCCCGACCACACGCCCGCCACCCCTCCCGACTACACGCCCGCCACCCCTCCCGACCACACGCCCGCCACCCCTCCCGACCACACGCCCGCCACCCCTCCCGACCACACGCTCGCCACCCCTCCCGACCACACGCCCGCCACCCCTCCCGACCACACGCCCGCCTCCCCTCCCGACCACACGCCCGCCACCCCTCCCGACCACACGCCCGCCTCCCCTCCCGACCACATGCCCGCCTCCCCTCCCGACCACACGCCCGCCACCCCTCCCGACCACACGCCCGCCACCCCTCCCGACCACACGCCCGCCTCCCCTCCCGACCACACGCCCGCCTCCCCTCCCGACCACACGCCCGCCTCCCCTCCCGACCACACGCCCGCCTCCCCTCCCGACCACACGCCCGCCTCCCCTCCCGACCACACGCCCCCCCCCAGACCACACCCCCCCCCCCGGACCACACCCCCCCCCCGGACCACCCCCCCCCCCCCCCCCCCCCCCCACCCCCACCCCCCCCGGACCACACACACCCCCCCGGACCACACCCCCCCCCGGACCACACACCCCCGGACCACACACCTCAGCCCCGACCAAACTCTCCCTCCCCCCCCTGACCAAACCCCCCCCCCCCCGACCACCCTCCCCCCTGACCACTCCCCCCCACCCAACCACTAAGATGTCTTTACCCAAGATCATATGTGATGATTGCTGGACAAACCACAGACTGCTCGTCTCAAAAATGAACCTCAAGATCCAGGTTTCCACAGTGCATCAAGGCACCAAAGTGGCTAAATGTCCTCAGATTGAGAGGTAATTATCAGGGGGAAAGCGCCAAGCCATTACCTGTACGACTATATAGCACTTGGAAGGGGTCAGGATAAGGATGTGGGATGGGACGGTGGGAAAGGAATGGTGCCCAACCACTTGTGGACGGTCGGGGATTGAACGCCGACCTGCATGAAGCGAGACTGTCGCTCTACCATCCAGCCCAAGTGGTTGGGTCCTGAGATTGAGAGACAATATTCAGGAGTTATTTTTATTTGGCATCGGGGCTGGAAATGACAGATGCTGATGCATCTGTCATTGACATAGTGCATCTGGGCTGCCTTCAAACAGCTGGTGTATGCCGCTGCATCCAAGTCATTGGGTATCATTGCAAGAAAGCACCAGGACTGCTTTGCCCAAAATTGTCAGGATATTGAGGTCTTGCTGGATGAGATACATCGTCTCCTCCATGCCTACAGAAATGCCCCAAAATCTGCAGTGAAGAAAGATGCCTTCACCAGAGTGTGGCAAAATGTACAGATGAAGCTATGTAAGATGTGAATACGTGTCAGAGTCGGAAAACCTGTAAGATTCAGGCTTTAGCTGTCAATCACAACATGAACTTCGACAGTTCACATCAGGCTGTCTACTGTGTCACATCTGGCTCTGCCATGCTCTAAAGTGCGGAAAGCAGTACACTGTACTGTATTCTGATTGCCGAGAAGGAGATTTTGGATTGATGGGCAGAGCACTTTATACTTTTATACTTTGTAAATTTTATAATTTACTAATATTTTATTTATTTCGTTTCATAACAAATAAAATATTGTTATTATTTCATTAATAATGTTATTAATTATTATTTCATGTTATGTTATTTGTTATTTCGTTTATTTGTTATTTCGTTTCAGAGAGGTTTCAAACTACGGGAAAAGTTGGCGAATGCAAACTTCGGTATGTCGAGACCCAATTCCCTCCACCTGCTGCCTTCCACACCACAAATTCGTGGGCTCCACACATTTATACGTAATAAGGACACTCCACGTGATGAGTTTATATTCTATTCAAAGAGATTGATACGGCTCGTCATTGAACATGCACTGACTCTGCTGCCATTCACGGTGAGGAAAAAGTAGTTGTTTGCTATAGTTTTTATTTAATATTTTATTTGATGCAGATGAGGAGTCACAGTAACGTGGCTGAAAAATGTTGACCAAACCACACACTAGAAAGTGAAGAGACGAGGACTTTTCGGTCCGTCCTGGACCACAATCGACTTGATAATGGTCCAGGATGGACCGAAACGATGAGAAGGGAGCTGGTCGGCTGAGCGGACAGCACGCTGGACTCGTGATCCTGTGGTCCTGGGTTCGATCCTAGGCGCCGGCGAGAAACAATGGGCAGAGTTTCTTTCACCCTATGCCCCTGTTACCTAGCAGTAAAATAGGTACCTGGGTGTTAGTCAGCTGTCACGGGCTGCTTCCTGGGGGGTGGAGGCCTGGTCGAGGACCGGGCCGCAGGGACACTAAAGCCCCGAAATCATCTCAAGATAACCTCAAGAAATCATCTCAAGATAACAGTTCAGAGTGAGCAAAAGGACTGAAAGCTTCGAATTAGTGTTGCTTTTTGTGAATTTTGTATTTTTAGTGCATTTTAAGTTGAAAAAAAAAAAAAAAATCATACTGTACTTGTATTCGTCAAAATAAGAACTACAAAATTGTACTACTATACTGTATCTATAATAATTCAGATATATGTACCTCTAATTGTAATATACGTACCTATAATTTTATAGCATATTTATTATTTATTAAATTATGTTTTCTCTTTCATATTTTCCATAATCACTACTTGTTTTCTCTGCTCTTGTACAGAATACTCTTGCATCTAGCTTGTGCATTATTACGACTTGTCATTTGTACTCATTTGTACTCAACACATTTTGTTCTTTTTACCCATTAGTTTTAAGCTTTAGTCATTAGTGTTTTTTCCTGCCCGAAACGCTTTGCGTAATAGTGGCTTTAGGCATTGTATGTACTAGCTCTATCTATAAAGCCAACAAACTTTGTGAAATCTCTTTATGTATGTACCTTTACCTAAATAAATATTATTATTATTATTATTATTAATGCTACTTATATAACTACAATATAATGCTTAATGAAAATTTAAATGTGTACATAATAAAACTTTTCATTAATGTTTAGAGAATATTTTTCAAATTTTCATGAATGTTTAATAAAATGTCAATGGTAATATGTTTACTGAAAATTTAATATTTAAGGAAAATTTTAATACTATTTAATGCTTAAGGAAAATGTAAATATTATTTTGAAACACGTTAAACACGTCTGCCACGTGTTTAACGTGGGGAAAAGACAGCATAGTATAAACGAAGTTTAATTACAGGAATTCAAACCTAAGTGTCATTTTACATTTTCAAGCAGGATGTGACTGTTGAAACCCCGCAGGGCATTCCGTACGAGGGCAAACGCATTGCAACGGAGAAGATATGTGGCGTGTCCATCTTGCGAGCAGGAGAGACGATGGAAAACGCTCTTTGCGAGGTTCTGAAAGATGTACGAATTGGTAAAATTCTCATTCAGACTAACCTAGACACTGGAGAGCCAGAGGTGAGAAAAGTTTTGTTTTTATTGAATATAAGAATAAAGGTAACTGCAGGTTGCCTATTGGCCCATACGAGGCAGCTCCTATTTATAACCAACCAATAATATTGCTGCTATAGTGGTATTGGCTTCTTCTTTTGGTCATTTCAAAGAGAGATGAGACACTCGTGTGACGATGTGAGACTGAAAATTCAAGACCTAGAGTAATGAAAACCTTAATTCGTAAATGGGTTTTACATATATTATTGGATTAGTTTATATAAAATTGCAGTATATTATTTACATAGAGAAAGTCAAAGTCATAATACAGTGTAATAGTTCAGTATAACATGTAATCATGTACAGTACTGTGTAATCTTAATCCAGATTTAGATTTAGAAACTTTATTTACCAGTGATCTATACAAACTAGTAATGCAAATAACAGAAGAAAAAAGTTTAAAAGACAAAAGGCGATACTTCTTTGTAAAGCGTGAGTAGTATGTGTTTAAACCAATAAAACTTAGCATAAAGATTTACGGTAAATAACGATGGGACACCATGAGCATAGCTCTACTTCTGTAACCAAAAATAATGTCTTAGATGCTGTGCATAAGTAGGGCTTTTTATAATAATTACTTCACCAATAAATTTATCATCTTTATTATTATCTTGAAAATGGGTAATCATGAATGCGCGTGCACACAGTAGACAGTTGAGGCACAGTAGCTCAGTGAGAAGGTGGTGGAGGCCAAAATCATCAGTAGTTTCAAAGTGTTATACGACAAAGAGTACTAGGAAGACGGGACACCACGAGCGTAGCTCTCATCCTGTAACTACACTTAGGTAATTACACACTCTCTTTCATTTCCTTGTAACTTACCCCTTGCCTCCTGTCTCCTTGCCTTCCCTATTGCTCTATATTGGCTCACTCTCCCACTCTTCCTTGCCAAGACTTGCTAAGGATTAAAAATGAACCAAAATGTCACCCACTTTCCTTTCATAGTTGTGGGATTGGCTATTTGGTTATTAATGGTTAGATTCTTTCTCTTTCCTCTTGGCTGAATGGTAGAGTGACGGTCTCGCTTCATGCAGGTCGACATTCAATCCCCGACCGTCCACAAGTGGTTGGGCACCATTCCTTGCCCCCTCCTGTCCCATCCCAAATCCGTATCCTGACCCCTTCCCAGTGTTATATAGTCATTATGGCTTGGCGCTCTTCCCCTGATAGTCCCCTTCCCTTCTTCTGACTCCCTGCTGTTTCATTTCTGCTACCCTGAGGACCATCAGTTACTTCTTAATAGATTACTCTTGTAAGACATTATTTTATGCCTTGCATGGATGCACAGTGAAATCACAATTACGTAATATGTCTCGAGAAAATATTGAAGCCATACAATGGGATCGAACCCACATCCTTGGACTTCTCAGGGCATGTGCTTGAGGAGTTCACTCATGTGCATTTGATCCCATCATATGGCTTGAACATTTTTCCCCTTGCATATATCATTAGTATTCAAGGTATGTTCTCATGTTCTTCAGCTCTACTACCTGAGACTACCAAAGGACATCAAGGATTACCACATTTTTCTGATGGATGCCACTGTAGCTACCGGAGCGGCAGCCATCATGGCGATTCGGGTTCTATTGGACCACGAGGTGACAGAGGAACACATCTCTCTCTGCTCCCTTCTAATGACTGAACAGGGTAAGTCACTAACATTCTGCTATGGCTATTTCTTGACAGATCATGCAAAATAAAAAGGTAATTAACATCACACCCCTTTCAAATTTAATGTAAGTTGATACCTGGTTGATACCTGGTTGATACCTGGTTGATGGGTTCTGGGAGTTCTTCTAGTCCCCAAGCCCGGCCTGAGGCCAGGCTTGACTTGTGAGAGTTTGGTCCACTAGACTGTTGCTTGGAGCGGCCCGCAGGCCCACATATACCTGGTTGATGGGTTCTGGGAGTTCTTCTAGTCCCCAAGCCCGGCCTGAGGCCAGGCTTGACTTGTGAGAGTTTGGTCCACTAGACTGTTGCTTGGAGCAGCCCACAGGCCCACATACCCACCACAGCCCTGTTGGTCCAGCACTCCTTGGAGGAATAAATCCTCCAAGTTGGTTTATATCTTTGTCTTTACCCAAAAATCTTAATTTCAAATTGATCCAACTTCTCGTTCAAAAGTTATGTCATCCTCCACATTATGGGGAGTTAGTGAGAACACCCTAATTTTCAAATTCATCTATGTCAGATCCTTATTGAGCTTGAAGAGTGATTCAAAATACTCAAAAGGTAATTTTTCAAATATTATGTTGATATTGTCATGAGAATTACTTAAAATTGATGTGTGAAAAGCAAAAAATTCAATTGATCATTTTAAGGGGGAGCTTTTCAATCCCCCAAGGTTAATCATTATTTCCAAAACTTTACATATTGGAGTCGAAACCCACCCCACATGTACAAATGACATTCTAGACGCTCGACAAGACATAATCGTTCGCATCTGTGTCCTCCCTGTTTTTGTTTCTAGTGTGGCCATTTATAAGTGGTAACCCGTCACGTCCCTTGATTTATCAACATAAGTATGTAACAGCCTTTCAAAATATCGCCTCCAAATACAGGAAATGAGTCGGACATTGTATCTAGAACTAGTAGACCCAAGAAAAAACATGTTACAATATTGAAGCCTTTTAATATTTTATATGTAATAAACCCATAATATCACCTACTTGTTGAAGTCATTAATGCCAAGACAGTACTGTAGTCCAGTTCAGAATTCGACTTGATGTAACGGGGGGTGGGGGAAATAGCTCTATCTTGTCCATTATTCCACCCCCCAATTAACTAACGAGGCCGGGGGAAACAGCTCTCTCTAGTCCGTTATCCCGTCCCCAGTTAGCTAACTATTCTAGAGCACCTCCAGAGTTCCTAAGGCAGCCTCTCTCGTTCAACACCTTGTAACCTAGGTATTCGACTACCTAGGTGCTAAGACTACAAGGCGCCGTAACTGGATCAGCTACCCGAAACTCTAGAGAGAACTCCAGAATACAAAATCATTGCCACAAACGTATAAGAGAAAACGAGAGGAAAGAAATGAAATGTGAAGTAATTAGTGAGGGTTTGGGGTGAGAGGCAGAGAGGTCGGAGGAGCGAGGAGGGTCATTAGTTGAAAGTGAGAGTTTAGAGAGGGGGGTGGAGGGAGAGGTGTAGATAGGTAGTAGTAGAAGAGTAGAAAGTAGACGTAGAAAGTAGATAGTAGAAGACGAAATGCTGCCACCATCCATTCATGATCATTACATACAAGACAAGGAATGGAACTTGCCTGTATCACAAAATTCTCAAAAGATGTTATCATGAGTTCATTATTAGTATGTTCCCTCTGTACCATGTATCAACTCCAAACAAGTACTCATTAATCTCTTGAATCTAGTAACCACCGAGGCTTTCTCACCTCAACTCAAAGCTCTAGGGAACAAAGACGATTTAAATAATAAGTTCATGATTATATTTCCCATGAAGTATCATAATTTAACAATTCAATTAAAATGTTCCAGTTTAATATGCAAAGGGAGTCATCATCCAAGAATTCGAGAACCCTACAACTTGACTGCCCCTGATCATCACACAACATATGTAAACACGACCAAGTCACCTTAACGTTCACTCACCGAGGACTGAGTCTAAGTTGAATAGAGAAGAAGGGGGGGGGGGTCTGTAGTTGACAGAGACTCCCGCCCTGCCGGCTGACAGCCTCCCTGGTAGGGCTGTCTTCTCTCTGCTCTCCTGGCTCGTCTGCTGCTCTGTCTGTTAATGCTTCATGCTCGATAGTTCTCCGAGTATTTATTGGGGAACCTAGTAGCTAACTCCGCCCACAAGTAGATAGCCTCCGGCACTACCAAGCCACTCCTTAACCGTCGGCATGTTTGAAGGCTACCCGGCTCCAATTATCCGCTTAGCGGAAGCAAGGTGAAATTCTCATGATCTGACCTCAGGTCACTTGGGGTCGTTAACGGTTAGAGGTGTGAGATCTCAGGCAGACAACTGGCGCCTCTCCGATCCTTGTCTGTGACTCATGTACTCTATGTATGTATTAACCTAAACCAAACACTTTTACAGTGTTACATTGAAAATAAAGAAAAATGAAGTGCGCTAGAGATGGTAGCCCTCAAGTAAATACAGTGGGGGCCTCGACTTACGAATTTAATCCGTTCCCAGAGACGAGTTGTAAGTCAAAACAAATTTTTCCATAAGAAATACCAGTAATGTAAATTTAATTAATCCATGCCACACCCCCAAAAGTATTTAATTAAAAATATATTTTATACCAAATAACACTCATTTTGTATTAGCTACATACCGATGCTGCTATATCGATGATGATACTTTTCAAAACGCTTGTGCTCTCTAGAGTGGAGTACTGCTGCACAATGACAGCCCTTTTCAAAGCTGGAGAAATTGCTGACCTGGAGAGTGTGCAGAGATCCTTTACTGCTAGAATCCACTCGGTAAAACATCTAAACTATTGGGACCGACTAAAGAGCCTAAAACTGTACTCCCTTGAGCGCAGGCGGGAGAGGTACATAATAATTTACACGTGGAAAATATTAGAGGGGCTGGTCCCAAACCTGCACACAGAAATAACATCACATGAGACCAGAAGACATGGCAGGATGTGCAGAATAAGGTTGAAAAGGTTGAAAAGCAGAGGTGCAACAGGTACTCTCAGAGAGAACTCTTATCAACATCAGAGGCCCGAGACTGTTCAACACGCTTCCACTACACATAAGGGACATAACTGGCCGACCCCTCACAGTGTTTAAGAGAGAACTGGATAAGCACCTCCAAAGGATACCTGATCAACCAGGCTGTGACTCATACGTCAGGCTGCGAGCAGCCGCGTCCAACAGCCTGGTTGATCAGTCCGGGAACCAGGAGGCCTGGTCGACGACCGGGCCGCGGGGACGCTAAGCCCCGGAAGCACCTCAAGGTAACCTCAAGGTAAGGTACATTACAGTACTGTATGTATATCTTAATCTTACCTTGAATGAGGACTCTTGTTGGCATATGGAAGATGGTGAGGAGGAGAGGTGTTAGTGTTTGGAAGGAGAGTCCCCTTCCATTATAACATCAGGCAGTGATGACTTTTCTGGAATACTCTCTCTCCTACATTTTGCCTGCATACCATTAGGACCTGCTTGTTTTTCTCACTAAAAACCTGTTTAGCGACACTTTTTTTCCCCTACGTTGTAACACTTGTCTGAAGTGAGACATCACATTGTCGTTAAAATGGTTAACACAACGGCCTGCAACAGCTTGATTTGGGTGACACTTTTCAGCAAAATTTTGCAATTCTTCCCATGCTGCACACATTTTTGTAATAAATGAGGAAGAGACATCCTCTAATTTGCATCAACAACTCTAATACCATTTTCATGTTTATGAATGATCTCTTGTTTTTCCTCTATGGTTATCCTCACATGTGTTTTCATAGGTTGAATCTTGCCACTGACTTTCTTGGGACCCATGACGTGATATATAATAATTACTTTTATGTCCAAAAAACAAAAAACGGACAAAAATAATGAAATTCTTTACAAGCACGATCGTCACTAAACTGAAAATGATCGCCAAAGCAAAGTACAGGTAAACTGATCATCACTCAGCTTCAGGCTGATCTGGTAAACTGAGGTAGGGTCGGCCGTGCCACCAGGAACCACACGATCGGTCGACCCATGCCTGGTAAACTGAGGCAGGGTCGGCCGTGCCACCAGGAACCACACGATCGGTCGACCCATGCCTGGTAAACTGAGGCAGGGTCGGCCGTGCCACCAGGAACCACACGATCGGTCGACCCATGCCTGGTAAACTGAGGTAGGGTCGGCCGTGCCACCAGGAACCACACGATCGGTCGACCCATGCCTGGTAAACTGAGGCAGGGTCGGCCGTGCCACCAGGAACCACACGATCGGTCGACCCATGCCTGGTAAACTGAGGCAGGGTCGGCCGTGCCACCAGGAACCACACGATCGGTCGACCCATGCCTGGTAAACTGAGGCAGGGTCGGCCGTGCCACCAGGAACCACACGATCGGTCGACCCATGCCTGGTAAACTGAGGCAGGGTCGGCCGTGCCACCAGGAACCACACGATCGGTCGACCCTTGTTATTGAGACAAGAAAATCTCAAAGAGAGTACCTAACGCTATTTCTACCCCCTTTACGGGAGACATACTTTAGATAGCCAAATATGACTCTTACTATTACCACGAAATTTACCACATTTGATTTAAGCAAACTTTTGTATATACCAAGTTGGGCATAACCCCTAATATGCTGTTTTCATGTTAATTAATGCAAAGAATAAGACACAATACTGTGGCTGAAAAACAATAACCGACCCACACACAAAGTTTAAAATGATAATGACTTGATAAGGGTCCATGGTAGATTGAAGCATCATCACTCTCACTTCATGTGTCGGTTGGGTAATATGTTACCTCGTGTATTGTTTGTGTTCCAAGTTATGCCAACCATTACCACCTCTCCATCTGTAGCAAAGCCCACAGCCTTTCAAAAATAAATTTGAAATTATTCTCATAACCCAACCCACACATATGAAAAGAAAGGAAAAGTGATAATGTTTCAGTGTATCCTGGACCCTCAAAATGTCAGCATAATTTGACACGGGTCCAGAATGGACCAAAATGTTGTCACTTTCCTTCCTTTTCAAATGTGGGGGATTGTATTATTAACATTCAGTCACGTTATTGTGACATTGTCTGCATTGTCTGTCATATCATGATGTGTATATACCGCATAACATTCTCGTTCTTTTTTAGGTGTCCACAACATAGCCTATGCCTTCCCCAAGGTTAGAATAGTGACCACAGCCGTTGATCCGTGTGTGAATGAGAAGTTCTACATTGTGCCAGGCATTGGGAACTTTGGCGATCGATATTTTGGCACAGAACCTTCGGATCAATAATTGAGACTTCACTAATGACTTCAACGAGTAGGTGATTATATGGGGTTATTATTACCCAACAATACTGACACAGCTATGAACAAGGTGTCGATTATTTTCACCGCGAATTCCCCTGGGGTCAGGTCCCGGGTCACCACGCGGGCTCAGCTTCCCATTCTCTTTTGTCGATAAACCACTCTGGATAATTCTTACAACCAGCCTAGTTTGTTACAGTGTTAAGAAATAGTGTGTGCCGTTCTTCGGACAATATTCCTTTAGCTTGATCACAAGGGCGTTCTCCCATCCATGTACAAGTATAACAAAGCCAGTGATTTGATAACAGCATATTTTATTAATTTGCTAATGTTTTATTGCTTATGATAGTATTTTCAAGAAGTGGTTACGAAGATTTATTTTATGAACTAGGAAAGGTTCTACCAATATTCTGACATTGCTGCTAGTTAAAATGTATACTTATACAGTATACTATTTGCTGGTATAAATGTATTTGTGTATAAATATTATCACTGCTCACAATATAAAAATGTAGTATCTGATCTTTTAATTTTTGTACTGTAATGTACTGTATTTCAAGGCCTATTCTAAAGAAGAGCCTTCATCTGAAGAGATCTTAAATTTCTTTAAAATTAAAAGATCTTAGAAGCTGAATTTGGTTTTCACCTATGAGATGTGAGCGCACATTCTACTATGAAACCATTGGAACAATACATATACATGTGTGTGCTGCATATATATGCTATGTATGTATGTACATGTACGTACGTATACATACAGGCATATACAAAATTTCACAAAATGAGTCGCCTCAAATATACAAGAAAATACCCGCAGTGAAATGGGGAACATATTCTTAGGGGAGTGAAAGCACTAGGACTATTTTCCCATTTCACTGTGGCTTGTCATGTGTATATGACCAGAAAGTTTTTAATGTTCCTGCATTATAACTCGGGCTTTTAATTTGTGGACCCGGCAAGGCATTCATTATTGGTATAATGAGGGAAATGAAATGGGCTTGTCGTGGTGCCAAGCCAGTTTGGCCTTTCTCGGTAAACTGTAAGCTTTCGCATCGAAAGTTGTCTAGAGTTGCATAATTTATGCAAGTGTTTTCAACTTTTAATGTGCTAAAAAAAAAATGTAAACATTGCTTCCCAATTTGATCGTAAACCTCAGTATTGTATTATAAGTACTGTAATGTATTTTTTTTTATACTGTACATGGTAATACCTATTTCACAGTGGAACATCTTGCCCTTGTTTGTATGTATTATAAAATGCAGTTTTATAAATATGATGCAAATTGAAGTGTTTGCAAATGTTTTTCCTATGGGGCAATGTTAATTTTGCATGATTGTTTTTTTCTTTTTTTTATTCTAAGGAGGCTACATATTAAATGTTGTTTTATAATAACTAAAATCTGCAGTAATATATTCAAATTCAATTATCAAGGCTTAATATAAATCTTTTCTATATAAATAATTGATCATCGGCTGATTGAAGGAGGATTCCATCGAGTAGAATTGGAAAGGTACTCTTTTTGTACAGGACTCGAAAGGTACCCTTTTGTACAGGGTTCGAAAGGTACTCTTTTGTACAGGACGCGAAAGATACTCTTTTGTACAGGGCTCGAAAGATACCCTTTTGTACAGGACTCGAAAGGTACTCTTTTGGACAGTACTCAAAAGGTACTCTTTTGGACAGGACTCGAAATTGGTCTCGATTGGTCATTCTTAGCTGAAGTAAATCAAGAAATGAGTATATTTATACATTCAGAAATGTTTTAAATAGTGTGGTCAAGCAAAGATAGGAGAGATTAGATCCACATGTGTTGTATTATTGCACAGTCTTCCCCTCTTATCTTTTATTCATTGTAACTTTATGATCAAATTATAGTTGATGACATACTACACTAAGCACATGTATCTTCATTGTGTACTGCATCTATTTTTCCCAAGAAAAGGGCTCGTCAAAATGTTTATGCAGAGAGGTATTTAGTTAGCATAAACATTGTATTTGTGTATTAAGCTTGAAATCAAGGGGGGGATTCCAGTTTTTAAAATCAACTTCGTCAATATGCAGGCGATGAGTCACAATAACGTGGCTGAAGTATGTTGACCAGACCACACACTAGAAGTTGAAGGGACGACGACGTTTCGGTCCGTTCTGGACCATTCTCAAGTCGATTGAGAATGGTCCGACGGGACGACGACGAAACGAAAGATTGAGAAGGGACGACGACGAAACGTCGTCGTCCCTTCAACTTCTAGTGTGTGGTCTGGTCAAGTTCGTCAATAGTTTCTCTTCAAGCACCCACATTATGATGGGCACAGGAACCAGGAGTAATGTTGATTCAATAGCGAATTATGTTGTTCTTTAACAAAGAAAGTAAACGTAAGCGTCAGGTCAGGCTTCAGTGCTAAGTACAGTAGTATTTATTGTAGTTTTTGTTTGTCTTATACATTATATAATATTATATATTGTTTTTTATATTATAATTTGTTTTTACAATAATCTATAAACATACTTGAAGGCTCAGTTATGTTCAGGAACATTTTGCTTTGGCTGTGAAAAGTGCTGCAAATCTAAATAGAAATAATTATTTTGTAATAAGAAATTTAAGTTCGATTATGCTTAGAATAAAAAAAAATAACATTTTTGTATGAATATTTTACATAGATTCTATAATGTAAAATGAAAAAGAAAGGTTGAATTTCTAGATTTGACTCTTAAACGAGTACACTAACATGATTAGAATGGAGAGTCGAATTTATCAGTGATAGTCTTGACTAAACAAAAATTTCAGTGAAATAATGTTAGGGGGCAATTGGTGTTAATACAAAATTTCTGTAATTGAAAAATTAATACATTCTGTTGCATTTTTATGTCTGATGTTAATTGATGTGTAAATATTATACACTAATTAAATAAGTTTTATTTTCATTATTAGTTTTTATTATGGGTCCTGTAGCACAGTAGTCTATGTCCAAGGCTCGCAATCAAGGACCCGGGTTTAATTCCATGACAGAAGAGAAACGGTTAGGCACATTTTCTTTCATATGATGTCTCTCTTCACCTAGTGGCAAAATAGATATCCGGGAGGGAGGGAGGCAAATGTGGGCTGTATTCCTGGGGAAGGTCTGTAGTTAGTCTATAAGAGGCCTAACTATATAAGGGGCCTGACAGCTGAGTAGACAGGGCTTCCGATTCGTAGTCCTGAAGTTCCGGGTTCGATCCCCGGAATGAATGGGCAGAGTTTCTTTCACCCTGATGCCCCCTAGGGAGGACCTAGGTTAACCAGAAGTCATTCTTAAATATTCTGATAAAGTGTAATACAGCACTTGTGGCTTAGCACTTAATTTTTTTGAGATTACTTATTTCTTTAATGATATTAAACTTCGATTATATACAGTACTTTTACGGAATAGTAACTTTTTACAAATTTTATCGTTGCCAAGACTTGTACCTTATTGTTCCAAGTTCATTGTCAGGGTTAGTGGTACACCCTTCATAGAATTTCCTGTATTTCAGGATGATCAGAAATATTGGTTTCTCCCCATTCATTTTTCTGAATTCATTTGCATTCATTCATTTGCCTGAATTTACTCGAAGACCACCATTCCTAGTGGCCTTGATGGAAAGGGGGAGCCAGCAGCTTGTCAAAAAAAAAAATCATTGTTTCTAAGGATTTTTGTCAATTTGAATATTAATTGAAAGACTGTCATGTTTCTTTACTTAACCTTGGATAAAATATTTGGTGAATCTGATGCTTTTTAATATGTCTTATGTCATTTTGCTCTCCTATTGGCAGCCTGAATAATATCTTGACCAGACCACATACTAGAAGGTGAAGGGACGACGACGTTTCGGTCTGTCCTGGACCATTCTCAAGTCGATTTGAGAATCGACTTGAGAATGGTCCAGGACGGACCGAAACGTCGTCGTCCCTTCAACTTCTAGTGTGTGGTCTGGTCAACATACTTCAGCCACGTTATTGTGACTCATCGCCTGAATATCTTGACATTTGTTCTACTGTGCCATAGATGCTGCTAAATAGTGTTCTAGGCTTGGTGCCTTCTGTTGATAATTACTATAAATATTTGCATATTGTTATATAGTAGTGCAGTGTTGGTCATGGGCAAAGGAAGTGTATAGGTGTCAATCAGCGAGTTGATTTTTATTTAAATTAGAAGACATCATAATTGTGTTTTAAGTGGCTATAAAGTGGACACTCTGTCATTGCAATTATTGGATGGAAGCCAATTTAACATAAGCTTAATTGCTTGCAATATTTAAATTGCTAAGATTTTATATGGAAAATTCAGTTATTATTTCAACACCCATGCATCTGTATCTTTTTGACGTGCGCAATTTTTCTATGTAATGAAATATCAGTTTTTTCAACTGTTACTTCTGTTAAATTTGTTGACTATTGGGAGGAATGCAGTGTGAACTTGGTCTTCACACAAATGGGTAAAAGAATACAAAATATTGCACGATAAAATGGAGATTTAAATCAGATGAAGTCACAATATCGTGGATGAAAAATTTTGACCAAACCACACACTAGAAATTTAGGAGACGAGATGTTTCGGTCCGTCCTGGACCATTATCAAATCAATTGTGTGATAAACTACACAATCGACTTGATAATGGTCCGGGAAGGACCGAAACGTCTCGTCTCTTCAGTTTCTAGTGTGTGGTCTGGTCAACACGAGATTTAAAGATAACTCATGGTAAAGTGATGAGTAAATCATGAGTAATATCATGAGTAAACTCATGATATTACCTATTTAAACAAATTGAACCTTGGTCCTATAGAAATTATCTTGCTTCTTTTACACTGATAAATAAACACATGCCCTTCTTTAGGCCCAAATTATATTTGTAATTTTTGTATTTATATCATGCCTGTTATTTTTCCCTAATACAGCATTGTTTCTTTTGACCATCCGGTGATATTCTGATGTTGGAGTAATATACAGTTAAATTATGGAAAGCATTGTACATCTGCTTTATTACAGAATTTCTATTTTATCACTACAGTATACTGTATTTGTCAGTGTATAAAAATGCACCTCTGCTTAGGACTTCCTTTTATATTACAAGAATATAATGTATATATATATATGTAATTCAATCATCATTCAATTATTGAATGCCATTTTGAAGCATTTTCTCTATTAGCATGAACTTTTGCATAAGATACAACATCAAACTCAAACTTCACATTAAAACAATGCTTTCTACCCACTGTTTAAAATGGCATTTTAGGATGATGAGCTAAATTTGGGACATCTTCATTATTTCTTTCGATTTCTTTTTTCATTATTATAGACTTTGGTCATTGTCAATGTACACACACATAGTCCGATTTTGTATCTTTGGTAAAGGAAACTCCTTTGATTGATATATTACCTCGGTACCTAAACCAATGTTAATGCAAAGGATGAGACGTGTGGTTATCTTGAGATGATTTTGGGGCTTAGCGTCCTCGTGGCCCAGTCATCGACCAGGTCTCCATTTTGTTACACATTCCCAGGAAGCAGCCCGTACCAGCTGTCTAACTCCCAGGTACCTATTTACTGCTAGGTAACAGGGACATCAGGGTGAAAAGAAACTCTGCCCATTTGTTTCCGCCTCCACCGGGGATCGAACCCGGAACTTCAGAACCACGAATCCAAAACGCTGTCTACTCGGCTGTCAGGCCCAGCTGTGTTAAAACTTTCTGTACCATTTGTTTTAAACTTTTATTTTGTCCTTTCTCCTGGCTTTTGAAGTTCTGTAATCCTTAAATATTCCACACATTTCCTGTGGCACACAGGTCTATGTCCTTGACACAATCATGGAATCTAAGTTCAGTCCCCGGGCAGGACAGAAAAGGTGGGGGCGTGTGTCCTTTCACTTGACGCATCTATTCTTGTAAGAGTAAATAGGTATCCGATTGATTATGCAACTATTGTGGGTGGCATTCTGGGGAAGATCTGTAGTTAGCGTACAGGGGCCTCGATGAGTCTAAGCACAGGCTTCCTGTCCCCCCAGCTATGGGAATGAGACTACAAGCTAATGAAAATTGTCTTTATAACTCCATCATGCTATTACATTTTGTATACAAGGCAATCTAGGAGCATGTGGTAATGCAACCAAAGTTACAGACTGTGACTCATCGCCTGCAAAGTTACAGAGATGTGACTGAGTACGCATATGAGCACGAGGGATAATAAAATTAAGTTACAGTAGAGTCAACAAAAGGAATGCAATAGACTGAAGTGATGGAGGCCGACTCCTACACAGTTTCGAAATTTGTACTTACACTAACCAACTTTAATTGCAAGAGAAATTTGTTACCCAGTTTTGTACTGTACTTAAATGGATGAAAATTTGTAAAATACTTAATTTGGCACAATGAGCATGTGCAATAAGGTATATTAAATGATGGTACATAATTTTGTATCACTATGAACAGATTTCTGATCAAAAGGCATTTCAGCATATGATGAAGCTCTGTAATTATGGGTAAATTGCTAATTGCAGGTACTGAATTATAATTGCATTTCAGAATGTGCTGCTTTCTGCACCCCAATACATTACAGTACTCTTCCCCCCCCCATACATTGTCTTCCCTCATACATTATCATCTCCCATACATTACCATCCCCATATGTTACCATTTCCCTTACACTACCATTTCTCTCCTCCTATACATTGTCATCCATTCGCAAATATAATTTAAATGGCAGGTATATTTACTAGCATTTTGTTCACTACAATATTTCCATGCCTTTTAAGTATTAAATGCTTGGTAGGAAAATGCCGTAGGAAATCAAAGTGTCTTTGTTTCAGCGAGTATGTGGAATTAACAGTAATAGTAAAATACGGGAGTAATTGGAAGACATGCAAGTACAGTAATAGGAAGATGGAAGTAGTGCAAGAGGCAGAAGTAACAGGAAGACATGATAGTAGTGCAAGACGTGGAAATCATTTAGGATGGGTAGTGCCTTGTAAAATTACTTAAACCTGGAGCATACCTGGAGTTCTTCCTGGAAACCTGGAGCATACCTGGAGTTCTTCCTGGAAACCTGGAGCATACCTGGAGTTCTTCCTGGAAACCTGGAGCATACCTGGAGTTCTTCCTGGAAACCTGGAGCATACCTGGAGTTCTTCCTGGAAACCTGGAGCATACCTGGAGTTCTTCCTGGAGAGATTTTGGGAGTTCGTCTACTTCCCGAGCCCGGCCTGGTTGAGCCCGGCTCCTTACCTTAAGATGACTTAGGCGCTTAGCGTCCCCACGACCTGGTTGTCGACTAGGCCTTAGACCAGGCTCAACCATAGATCCAGTTGGTTAATATTAATGATAATAATTAAAGTGGTCCCTTGGGTTTAAGTATGTGGTGCTTCCTTAGAAAATAAATTTATTACCATCAAACTTTGTGAGACAGTGCATAATTTTTTTTAAGTTGTAACTGTTTTTTTCATATTGTATGTTGTATTTATTATTGCATTCCCTTGTAATACAATATTATCATCAGATATTTATCTTCGAGTGAAGGCGCATGTATTATTTGACAAGTTTATGAATATTACATGACAATGTTATACTTTATAAGTATTATTTGCATACATAAAGGGCACTGTGGAGGACTCTAATGATTAGGAATGCATTTATTCCTGAATACTCCTCTTTCTGTCTGGGTAATTGTACTGTTTTCTTGGGTGTTGCGTGAACCTAATTGGGTTCGGAATATTTTTGAGATATGATGCAAAATTTGATACTATTACAGCACTGGTTAATGTTTCACACATGGTTGTTTAAGGTGGATACAATTATAGACATTCAAATTGTTATTATTTTATTTTTTATTTACATTGTAAGGATTGTTTTTATCATGTTTCTCATTGGCTGATTTCTTGCTTAATATTTGTCAAAATGTTTGAGGGCGGTAACATGATAGTTTGAGATATCAAATCCATTATATTATTGTAATTTATATAATTTAGTTTTAATTTTGGTCATTTAGTTTTAAGCTTTAATTTTCTATTTGCATTGTTTATTTTTTCATCTTGTGTTAATTTAGTTTTAGGCTTTAAATTTTATTTTTAATGTATTTTAAAACTAGTTTTCAAAATGGAACTCATTGTTTTGGTCATTTTGGTATCTATTCAGTATTAATAGAGATCTTAAGTCATGGTAATAATTTAAAGAGTAATAATAATGATTAAACTGTATGTAGTGACTGTCATTTGCCAACCACTTGGACTGGACGGTAGAGCGACGGTCTCGCTTCCTGCAGGTCGGCGTCCAATCCCCGACCGTCCAAGTGGTTCGGCACCATTCCTATCCCCCCCGTCCCATCCCAAATCCTTATCCTGACCCCTTCCCAGTGCTATATAGTCATAATGGCTTGGCGCTTTCCCCCTGATAGTTCGCTCACTCTCTCCTGTGAGGCAGGTGACCTCCAAGCCAGGCAGTGTGGCAGGCGTCATCGGTGCAAAGTCCGTTAAGGTAAAAAATTAAGCTAACACTTGTATTCTACAAAATTGTAGGGGGAAGAATATGGAGCACTTTTATATTAGAAATAATTATTTTTTATTCAATTGTACTTTGGTATATTTTTAATAAATGATGTACTGTATTTAGTATTGTTATGTATAACATTTTTCTTTTAATATTTTGTATGACTCCTGGTAGAGAAACATTTGTCATTTGTAAATTTCATGGATA